CGCGCGTTGCATTTAGGGAAGAAAAACCCTCGTTTGAGGGTATACCCCCGTTTGAGGGTTCGACTAGACTGTTTAACATAATTACTTAGAGAAAAGAATTTTGACAAGTGCGTTGCATGATTTACAAAACAAAATAAATGCGGCGCGTCGATTTACCCAAATGGACCCAAATGAACCCAAATGGCGACCCAAATGGACCCAAATGGACCCAAATGGCGACCCAAATGGACTTCTGTAGACTTTATTTCAAAACTAGAATGCATCTATACATTTAAAATAAAATTATTTATTTTTGCATTTAGATATAAATATCACTGAATATTCAGAAAAAATAAAATAAAAGCTGCTGAATGTGTTTTATGTTTATCACAAAAATTCAAAATATTGTATAGGCAAAAATGCGTACATTGTACTTTATTCATTACATCTAAGCGAATTATTTTAAAATATATTAGAGTTTACCAATCGGAAAGATTCACAAAGTTTTAATCTTTTTGAGTAAATCAGGTACGTAGCAACAGGAGGCCCCCCCACACACACCCCTATTTTCCAGAGATAACTTTTTACTACTGAAAATGTTCATTGAAAAGCCGATGCCCCCCCCCCCCCCCCCACTTTCAAAAACGATGCTACATCAATATAAATAATTAATTAATTACTATTTCATCATAATTTAGTCCATTTGGGTCGTCAACTAAGTCCATTTGGGTCCATTTGGGTCGTCATTTGGGTCCATTTGGGTTCATTTGGGTCCATTTGGGTCCATTTGGGTAAATCGACGCACCCAAATAAATGGCATACTTACGATTTCGGAGTAGTTGTTTTGTTTTTCTCTAAATAGAATTTTTTCTGGTGAATTCTACTTGATAAAAATCCATTTTCTCATGGCTTCGTATCCAAATCGAGCAAATATTTATCTGAGTAAAATAAAACTATCACTGTTGCTTGACAGTGTATCAATTTCAACAGAAAATTTATGTTAGAGCTCTTTTGTATATGAAGATGCAAATATGATATGTCAAGTATTAGATATATCGTACCAATACGTTTCGAGGATTATCAATTCACAGACTGGTATTGCCTGTCTCTAATCGTACGATGTCGCGCATATCAGACAGGCAAGGCAAGTCTATCAATTCACCCGAGTTAAAAGGATTATTGTCTATTTCTCATACAGCCCCCCCCCCCGATATGCCTGAGGCTATTTTCATTTAACATTGCTGACTCCTGCCCCTGGGATCACGAACAGTACAGTACGTGTATATTCAAGATCAAAACTCCATAAAACAATAAAACAAATAGGAGTAGAGCAAACACGGGCCTCCAAAACATCAGAGATGGTATCAGGTGCCATGGAGGAGTGAGCATCCCCTGCTGACTGTCACAACCGCTGTGTGACCTCTGTCATGATCGGGAAATGTCTGGAAAATCCGTCGTCAATTCAATGTGTAACGTTAAATAATGGACTAACAAATAGAATGAAAAACGTCAGTCAGCATTTGACTCAATGATAAATTGTATTTGCTGACTAGGTCATTAAATCGACCATAGAACTTACGAAATGATGGCTTTAAACGAGATTGCATGCTGATATTCTTGTTTCATCAACTTGTTTGTCAGTTATTTACCTCGTTACAGATATTGTTCATACGTAGAGCATGCAATTGCGTATTGAATCAACTGAGATACAAAAACGAGGCTCCCTATGCAGGCGCATGCTGAAGGTACATGTATATTGCTGCATAAGTAAGGGAAGTTGATATTGAAAAGTTGAAGTCATCACGTTTATCATAGAGCTTTGTTGTTAGAAACATCTTAAGCTTAAATCAAAATCTTTATACTACTAGTATACTTAAATGTAATGGATGTCAAGTAGATCAAAATTAAAATATATCTCAATATTGATTCACAAAAGTGTTGTTATTAGCAAATTTTGTTCAAAATAAATTCAATCATAAATATTTTACAGGCGATTGAAAATTTGACTTAGTGACGCGTCTATCTGATTCATGAATCTGGGGCCTGTGCTTAAACATGTTAAATACATTTATACGGTATATACATGTACACCTTTTTCTGTAATTTATGACAACGTACTTAAGTATTATTTATACAGTTATAAGCGTGATATATGCTCCTTTTTGCATGTTTTGTCTTTGTGACTATATACATGGTATATAGTTAGTTAGGATTTTTCCGGGGGAGAGAGGGGGGAGGGGGGCACAGTCAATAAAAAATAATTAAAACCCAGAAATTTCTCGACAAGAAAAAAAAAACTATAAAAAAAAACCCTAAACTCATTTCCAAACGTGAAAAATCCTATTTCGTAGGGAGAAGGGTAGTCGTTGACTTTAAACCTTCATACATGTACCTGCGACTTTGAATAGTATACCATTTTCGCATTGATCCGTTTTCAAGGACGGGTTTGCGTTTACTGGGGGGGGGGGTCCAAGGTCCTCTTTGCTTGGTTTAGCATTTACATTTTGTAACTCCAAATTTCAGGGAGTGGGTGGAGTGGGGATCCGGACCCAGCCACCCACCCTCTAGATCCGCGCATTAATTTAATACATTTATAATATTTGATTAAAGCATTTTTCGAAAATAAAGTTTCCTTCACATCAAGGATGAAAACCACGTACGGGGAGGGGTCGGGATTCGGAAGTCCAATGGTCCAAGTTTGTCAGCTTACCATGTTAAAGGGTATACATGTTAAAGGGTCCCATTTTTACTTCGGTTATTCTAATATTCAAATTACAAAAAGATATACCGAAAAACTGAAAGTGGACCCATCCCAAATTAGGGACTATGGCTCTTTGTCAAAAGTAAATATCACCGGCACTTTTTTCGGAAATAATTTTTTAACTCATAGTATGTAATAATAACAATTATTATATTATATTATATTATTATATTATGTTATAATTTATTTCCGAAACAAGACAGTGTCTGTGGTAAATATACAGGAATAATATTGACAATAGCTCTCTCTCTCTCTCTCCAACAAAATATTGACTTTTTTATAATAGTGTTTTTCCCAATAAGTATTTGAAAACAATTCAACTTTCTAATGATTCAGAGTTTTAGAATTTTTATGTATACCAACGACGTTCAATTTTTTTTCTTCAAATTATGGCCAAAATTTAAAATTCTAGTCAGATACTGAGTATATGCATTTTTTTCTTCCTCAAATTATGGCGAAAATTTTCTAATTCTAACATATAATTATTGACCATCGGCATCACGTACGTGAGCAGAGAGAAGGATTGATAGGGAGTCTGTGCAGGGAGGCCTAATCAGGCATGAGACCTGATCACCCCAGTCGGCGCACCTCTGGAGGCTGTAGTGGACAGCGCCGAAACAGCCGATGAAGAATGATCCACCTTAGGATGGAACCATGCACCTTTCCATCAAGATGTATGTATACAAGTAATACTATGTGCATAGACGCTTTATGTCTAATATGGTATGTGATTGAACACCTCCAATGATATTTAGATTGATTGATTGACTATATACTGTTTAACGCATTGGCGGATCCAGAGCGGCGGGGGGGGTTCTTTTATCGGGGATTGATTGTCCCCCCCTTTATTTTTTGCCAAGTGGAGAAAGAGAGAGAGAAAGAAGGGGATAAAACGTTTCCCTAGAATAAGTATTTGTACGTCTAACTTAAATATGTATTGAATAGATAGATTCTCACACATTTAGTTTTTCCATTCACCTTCACTATTACTTTTTATGAGTGAATGGTAAAAAATATTCTACTTATTTTTATATATCATATATATGATATGTAACATGCGAGGTTAAAGCTTCTTTGTGATGATAGAGTCCATGTGAATCCCCTGTGGGTTACCAACGATGCCTTTAAGTCAAATATCAGCTTACAATAAGACTTCTTATAGACTAGACATAAATCATGTTTTTTTTTTCCTAGTGACCTTGAACTTGCTGGAATTACCTTGGATCAAGGTCATTAGATATTCTCAGATCACTATAATATATGTGTAAAGTATGAACCTTTGATTTTCACTGCAAAGTACATGACTGTAAATGTATGTATATAAACAGGAAAAGACATATAATAGTTTTCTAAAAGTGACCTTAAGTTTTTAAAATGACCTTTGGTTAAAGTAATGTCACACCTCAAGTCCCATTTCTCCATTTAGGAAGTTGTGGACCAGACACACATTTTATACTTTTCAGTGACCTTGAACTTACTTGAATGACATAAATGAACTTGCATCAAAGTCAAGACACACCCTTGGTCTTGAACAATCTTTGTACTAGGTATAAACTTTCAACTGTTCTCCACAACTAAGATATTGCATGGCAGACAAACAGATGGACAACTATATGGATTTAAATTCTGACATAGGTGAAATTTTAAATGAATACACATAATACATATTTTACATCCACATGGATATATGGGCATTAAAATTCTGATATACAACAGTGAATTAATTTCTAACTGACAATGTTCTTTTGAGTCATATCTTTTATTTCGTGCATGATTGTTGATTCTATGTAGAATTTTTTAGTCTATACACAAAAACTGATGATTTGACATGCACAAGTTTGTATCCATCATAAATCTAGAGTTTTGGACTTGATGGAAATTATTACAAACTTGACGTCTTTTTAAATGCACTTATTCAGCACACATTACATTATTAGTTATCCAGGTTCAATCAAGGGTGTACGGGGATTTACCCCGGGTTTTATTACATACACCCTGAGGCCGAAGGCCGAAGGGTGTATGGAATACAACCCGTGGTAAATCCCCGTACACCATTGATTGGACCTGGATAACGAATTTATTTCCTTTGTACCCATAAAAATGCTTTGTAAAAATGATTTTTAGCTTTTATCATAGAGAATGTATGCATTGTGACGTCACGTTTATTTACACCCGGCTCAAGTCGGGTGCACGGATATTTACACCCGACTTTGTAACCAATCAAAGCTCGTGTTACAAGCTAGATAGGAAATAAATAATTTTACTAAACCACAAGATATCCATTTTATCAATCTCTATATGTCATGGTTTAATTAGCCACTATTACTAGTATTCAAACAAGGCATGTTCTCATCATTGACCTTTGACCTGTTGTCTGGTTCTCCATCCTTGATAAACTGGTTCCAGCTGCTTCCCCTGATCTCTTTACCAGCAACAGAAGATTCAAAGGCAATGTTGTCAACTCCGCTTTGGGCAGGACTGTTCACTTGTTGTTGAAGAAGCATTTCCATTTCAGCTCTGATTGAATTCTGTGTGTTCAATTGATTCTCTTCAGAATGATTGCTCTCTGATATTAATTCAGTTTTAGATGACTCAGGCTCATCTGAAACCTTTACTATATCTTCATCTGGAAAAATATTTTCAGTTTGAAGACAACTTTGGGTATCCTCCATAGATTTCTTGATTTCTTTCTTTATGGATTGTCTGTATTGCGAGACAGTAGGAGTAGAAAATTCGAAACAGTTAATATTTGGTGAATTTTCAAGTTTTTGAGGATCTTCAACTTGTGGATCATTACGGAGAAGTTCTCTGCATTTGTCCGTTTCATTGGGAATATCCTCTACAGATTGCCAAGCCTTGGCATGCCTGTTGGGTTTAATGGAACCTCGAAATGGTCGACCAGTGCTTTTGTCAATCAGGTCTGCCTTAGATTTAGTCTCCTCTGGATTTTTAACAGTAGACAATCTCTGCTTTCTCCTCAGAGAGGCTGAGGTGATTGTAATTGTAGGAATAATTGGCATTTTGTCTTTCTCGATTGGTTGATTCTGGACAACGTAGACAGATTTTCCATCAACTTTTCCGACGGAGGCCACGGTGAGAGGCTGAGAAGATTGCTGGATACTGCTGTTGTTTAGGGTGGACTCAAAGTCTGGCAGGATGCTGAGGTAGGAGACCCGGGAATTTCTGGCCCTCCGACACGGGACGGTCAGGAAGTTACCACTGGTTTTATTAAGGTTCTGGGATTCCTGAAGATTGAAAAGTGAAAAGTCTCTGGTTTCTGAATGAAATTTAAACAACTTCTAAATTTTTAAGTGAAGTTGTACAATTGCACTTTACATCTACATTAAATTTACAAATGATAATGATTAAAGAAATTTTACCTCCATAAACACAGGACTTTCCAAAGAAGCATCACATGATGGAAAGGAGGAATCCCTCACATAGAGATCTAAAAACAAAAGAGGATTAAGTTACATATATGTACACCTCATGAAAACAAGAAGGAAGTTTGCATATACCTCTACTGAATAATTAGAGGAGGGCTTGACATGGCTACAGAGCACTCAACAAAATAGGGATAATAAGTTCTTGTGTTTTACAAGAATCTTATAAAATTAGAGATGTCCATAAATATGTAGTTGGTGGAGTCATTCAATCAAATTAAAATTAAATGTCAGATCTGCTCGCATACTCGCCACACTAACATCTAAACATCCCATTTAGGGTCACGTCAGAGGTCAAATTCTAACAACCAATAAAATTGTTGCCTGCAAAATCATCGTATATTGTTGAAGCAGTAAGTCTAGAGCTGTTCCGAATTTGACCTCTGACATGACCCTCTATGGGATGTTGTTAGATGTTAGTGTAGGAGTATGCGAGCGAATCTAACATCTAATTTTAATTAGATTGCGGTGTCATTGAGAATACCTGTGCTTAATCTGACCAAATTTTCATGGCTGAATTCTTATAAGGTAAGTAATTTGAAAATGACTTGAAATATAAATGGTACTAATATTTCCCTAAAATCTGTGGTCCTTACTTTTAAACAAGGTGAAGTCATCTTTGTATCCTTTGACATTCTCGTAGTCCCCTGAGCCCCCATGGTAAGAGTACGCCGTGATGTTACTTATCTCTCCTGCTTTAATTGCTGGGTTAGAAATCTACAATGGAAAAAATGCTGAACAACTTACAGCTTAACTTTTTTAGGGTCCTCCACACCATGTGACTTGTGACGTATATACAGAAAAAATACTCTTACTTCCAGTTTTATCTAGTTTATGCATGGACGATTTGGCCTAGCACCATTTGTAAAAGAGTCTTACAAACGCCCAAGAGATAAAGGTTTTACAAAGAGAAAAAGTTTGCAGTACACTGAGAGCGACACACTAATCATAAACAATAAACACTTGGCATGGTCAGGGAGTGACCGTTGGAAAAAGATGTGCGGGTTTTTTTTTAAATAAAAGAACAACAGACGTCTTGGATTATGTTACATAATAATACAGTATCTCATTATTTGTTTATAAATATTGATAAAATAGTGTGGGTTTCTAGTTTTCCTCTTTTATATCTGTCCAGTTCAGCTAGTGGCCAGTAATTACTAAATATAGTATGGTGACGTATGCGGAGACTTGCCAAAGTTTTCGAGTCCCAGGCAACAGGAAAGATAACTCCAAAAAGGAACTTTGATACCAAAGATTTTAAATATATTTTTTCTACATTAGTGCATTAAATTTTAATTCAATTTTTTTTTATGTAATCTACTTCATTAATGTTTGTTCTTTACAAAAGGAGTCTTTATTGATTTTTCTCGAGATGTATTTTAGAGAAAATGAGTTTTATCTACTTTTTATAAATAAAATAAATTTCTGTAAAAAATACGTTGATCAATAAAATTAAGTTTTTATGGTTATTCTGTGAGCTTAAATATATATGAAAGGGTAAGACAAAATTTGTTGTGCTAGGTATGAAAACGCCTGGGAACAATTTCTTGACACTTGTGAAATAATTTTTTTTTTAATCAATATAAATTACATTTTAATCCCTAATCAATTTTTCAAGGTTGATATACTTGTTAAAAGTAATGCTCAGTAATATGAGAACATCATGCAGCTGTGGTTGTGTGGAGGACCCTTAAGCTGGGCATTCAAATCATTGATCATTATTCAAGGAACATGAGTTATTTGCATTGATGTTACTAAACTTATAATCATCAAAATTTCTGACGTTACAGCAGAATTTTTTTATCATATCATTAGCACATTTCTTTTTTCTCTTGGCTAACTGGTGAAAATTAGGCAAAAAACCATGCCCTTCCTACAGAAAATTATTCTCTGTATTTAGATACTGTTGCTTAATAGTTATTCTCAGCTAGGTGCTCTGGCTACCATTAATTACAGTAACTGCAGTTGCCGCTATTCTGAAATCCTAACTATTGTTAATACCTACAGCTATTCTGAAGTCCCTGTGTCGCCCTAAATCAGGGTGAGGACGGTGCTTTTTCCTAAATCTCTGGACCACTATCTCTGTCGAGTTCTGATCAGTACAGTACAGTGCCACTGAACGCCTCCTCTTTCTGGAAAGTAAAGAAATAGAATACACTTGATTTAAGAGAAAACAAACAATACTCAAGTTCAAAAGTCGACAGAAACAATGCAAACTGGGAGTAGATCAAACACGGACCCAGAATGCATTGCAGGTGGGACCAGGTGCCATGGAAGAGTGAGTATCCCTGTTGACTGGTGTTAATTTCCAGGGTATAAAACCTACTATCATTTCATTTATCTTTATAATAAAAGTTTGCAAGCTATTGTACAATTTTTGCAAACATTTAACTAAGCAATCTTTTTATTGTATTTTTTCTTATTTACGAAATTAAATCTACCAAATAAATCTATCGCAGCTGCGCTCTCATATTATGCTGGTGATCTTTTTCATGTCTTCAAAGTTTTTAAAAAAAAAAATTGTTTGCATGTGGTTGAAACTGTATACCACTGTTAACTATACTTACAAACAGAAATATAGGGGAATTACACATAAAAGAGGTCCAGCAATTACGATCAGTGCATACCACCCCTGATCCATGCCAGAAGACTGAGAGGGACCATCTGCAAAGTTATGCAAAAAAATTGAACATGGCAATATAACCGTAAATTCACTTTTTATGTCCAAGAACTTTACTTCTGTTTTATTATGCAGGACCATCTGCTTATAAAAATTTTATTATCACCGATAATTCTACTTTTAAAGATAAGATCATGATAAACAAAATGCAGGAAGATTAAAATTGATTCAAAATCTTGTAGAAATAAGCTTGATAAGGTGTCACTAAAATTAAGTGATCAACAGTTCCCTGTGCCAAATTGCCTAGAAATACTTTAAATATCGAATTTTTACAAATCTATGTGGATTTTTAAATTACCGGTACCAGATTCATGGACTGGTGACAAAACTTGTGTAAAGCTTAGAGTGAACCCTTGGTACCAGCGTGACCTTTGACCTTCTTCTGTTGTCCCCCCATACATGGACACCCAAAACTTGTTCTGAGGCAGAGTTAGTTCCCCTGGAGATTGTGTCCCACAGATTGGACCCAGCTCACTCCTTCTGTTGCCTGTATAAAATAAATCAATGAGTAACCGGTACACTGATCTATATTGAAAATTCAAACTTCTCATTCATAGTTATTCTCACTCATGAGCTCACTGTGCCACAAAGAAGAATGTATAACTACCATTTTCTCAGATTATTTACCATCATGATAATTAAAGAGAGCAAAGAATTCTAGACATCCCCTAACCTTTCATGTCTGTGGTTCCCAGAAGCAGAAATCCTGCCTTGCAGTGTCCATTGTCGCCCTCAGGCAGATCAAACTGGAGGAAATTCAGTCGAACTGACGAGCCCTCTGGTAAAATGACGACCCAATCACAGTGAAAGAGAGGCTGAAGGTTGGCATCAAAGGAAGGGGAGGTGATGTTACCCTCCCAAGAAATCAGGGTACCCCCACAGTCTATAAAAGGATTAGGAAAAGTAATGGCTATAATCATCTCTATCTACTGATACGTTCCAAATTTCTCAAAATTTATTTAAGGAATGATTTAATTTACAAGAATTTCAACATGTTATAAGGATATGAACTATGACACCTCATGCTTTAATATTTCAGTATTAAGCTGGCACTTCTAACAGGCCTAAAGCATTTTAATTAGTTCATCATGTACCTCCTGATTTCTTTGAAAAGTATATATTTCTTATTTGATATTAACATATTATTTGTCTGATGCCTTGCCATAAATTGATGTCATTCTAAGATCATTTTTGAATAAAAACAGCTGTTGCTGCAGTTTTGACACCATTCTTGATGATGTCAATGTCACAACAGAGATATTTTTGCTCTAACTCCCACTGTGACAGTACTTCATGAGAACATGACCTGCTTTCAATTACACATACTTGTAAAGGATATTTATTGATTTAAAAAAAAATATTCAAATAAAGTGATACATGTATTAAATATGATTTAATTCTTTTGTTATTTTTCTTTATCTTCTAACAAACATTGCATTTTACACCACACTGGTCGTCAGGATTTAATCATTATAGTTTTGCTTTTATCAGGTCCAGTACAATCACTAGATTTAGCTACGTAGGTAGAATTACCTACGTAGGTTTATTTACCTACCTCAGGTAGCTTTATTTAGCTATTTCAAGGTAAGTTTTCAAAAATTTTCTTTTTATTAAAAAGAGACAAAAAGTCGCAATTAAACGAAGAATGATATTTATACTAGTGAGGCTTAAAAAAACAATCCAACGCAGAGATAGTTCATACATTGCCGAAATTGGATAATTTAGAGCAAAACGTGATATTCCATTGTTTGGTTAGCTGTCCGTGCGGTGAGGCATGATTGATATGATTACTTTACATTTTTGAATAATTACCGACCTATTATTGTGTTAACCGGAACTGGACTTCTTTGTCATTTCACAAGGGGTAACTGTTCTAACTGTCATACATAGCCCCAAAACTTTCAGAACTTTGATTGCAATTACTTCATGAAAAAGACATTTTTCCAAGAGAGATTTTTTTATGAGTTGTTTTCAGATGATTCAAAGTTGAAAATTATTCAAAATGATATATTCTGCACACCCTGAGAAAAATGCTTTTAAATAGAAAGAAACCAATTTGGTAGGTAAATAAAGCTACCTTAGGTAGGTAAATAAAGCTATGTAGGTAAATCAAGCTACGTAGCTAAATCTAGTGATTTAATCATTATAGTTTTGCTTTTATAGTCAATTTCCCTCCAGCATACCTGATCCATTTGTATTCAATCCACAGGTCAGAAAACTATTTAAAGATATTACAACTGCAGCTAACACAACTGGCACCAATTCAGTCATCTAAATGGAAAGGAAACATACACGACAAAAACTAGTAAGTGTACAACTGTACAATTTCGACTTTTTGTCTTGACTCACAATTTTTGTCTAAATTCTTCACATTAATAAAATACAAGCGCCTTTAAACTTTTATCATCCATTTATATGAGGTATAACGTTTGGGGTTAATTTTTGCTATATTCTTACAACAATAAAATGTATGTTTTTGTCAAGATTAATACCTGAATCATTTTCTTTTCCTGTAGTTGAAATTTGGCGCCATCTGTCTGATATTATTTGTCATCTCGTTCAAAAGTAAGTCGGATTTTATTTAAATAGGTTTACCAATTCAAGTTTATTTTTATTGCAAAATTTTACAAATATAATTAAATGAGAGGATTAATTTAATTATTTTGAGTAAAAATATATACTTATGTACAATTATTTAAAAAGTTACGAATATTATTGGGTTGAAGTATTTAAATCTATGAACCGGAAGTATCTTGAGAAATGTCAGGTGATTGAAAAATCATAATGGAAAGACAGCTGGAAAAACATCTTGAAGAAACGTAGGATAAATTGAATATTTAGTAACGTCCTCGTTGTAAATCATTAGAATACTCTCTTTTTTATGTCAGGCAATGTGACTTTGAAAGAGGGCAGCTAGCTTTTTTGTATAGGCTGAGGCACTACAAAAATAATTTGACAGCTATGCTACAGTGCCACCCATTGAAAAAAACTGTATATTTATTGCGCACAAAAAAGTGCGCTGAACATTATCGATTTATTTCTGCATGTTTTTAAAACTAAAACCTCAAAATATTACTAAACGTGTATTTAACATATATATTTTGCTTCCACAACAAAACATACATTATAGTTGTTGTATATAGCCCTCCTGGCCCTGAAACAGACAAATCTTGTCTGTTTATACTGCCATTTTGATTTTAACTTCATATTATATATGTCAACTACAGTTTTGATGTTAGATAGAAATGTTTTGAAAAAAGTTTTTGCAATTGATAAGAAATGTCAAGAATTAATGCATACACAAGCGCAACTTTTTGTGCGCAATAAATATACTTTTTTTTCAATGGGTGGCACTGTAGCTCTCCGGTCTATCAATGTATATTTTTCGGAGAGCTACAGTTCTGCAGCTAGCTTTTTTGCATAGGCTGAGGCACTACATAAACAGGTCCAGCACAATAGACCCCGATAAAGGTATATAGCTTGATAAAGCTATATAGCTTTAAAATATGAAATACCTATAAGGTATTTTATGTAATGAAAACAAAAAGTCAAAAATTAAAACACATTTTAGTTTTTGTCAGTGTGTCTACTCGTGCATGAAAAACACTCTGGTCAGCTGGTATCAAAAAGGAAGCATAAAATAACGTCTCCTCACACGGCACATTTTTATACTGATTTGTTTGTGTTTGAGTACTTTACATGCACAAACTGACAACAACTTTTTGACTTTCAGTAATTAATTTTTAAAGAATTTTTTTTTAATTTTCATTACATAAAATATTTCAAATTAAATACCTTGATAAAGCTATATAGCTTTATCAAGCTATATACCTTCCACGGTATTTTGCTGGACCTGATAAAGACCATAGCTATGCTCTCCCCATCTTTAAAATTGTTAAAAAACATACATCTACTATACTATATGTCAACAGTATTGTAGATTTAACATATATATTTTTTAACAATTATAATTGGGAGTGCCTTGAAACAGACAAATCTTGTCACGATATCTGATTAACTTCATATTATATATGTCAGATACATTTTCCATGTTAATAGAAAGTTTTTAAAAAATAATGTGATGAAATGTCAAACTCAGCATTCTTACTCAGCACACTATTTTTCCACAGTACACACTAATATTGTCGGGAGCTAGGTCATTTAGGAAGGATATAGTTAGATCACAGGAGTTCACGTACCTACATGTAACAATTTTACCAAACTTTTCAGTAAATAAAAGAAATATGAAATACCTATAACAATAACACAAGGAGTGCAACACATTTTAGGTCACAGGGGAACCCCTCGCTTAATATCGAGGCTGTCGCACAGTCAATTTTCAATCGAAAAATTATAAACGCAAACCAAACTCTTTGGAAGGGTCCATTCTTTATGCCTCTTAATGCATTGCATATGATTTCAAATGCATGTTTTACAACAGCAGCGGTGAATGTTTCTCCACGACTTCGCTCAAATATCTGTTGGGTGCGACACCATTACGTGACGTCACGGGTGCGTCCATTTACCCAAAAAGGAACAAAACTGCCTAATAAAATGCTAATCTTGATGAATGGGTCATATGTAGTGTTGGCAACGAGTACCCGGTTAACCGTCGAACGATGCGAGTATCGGTTAGTAAAACTGCTATTTGGTTACTCGGATAAAAATACATTTTTCATAGTAAATACGTTTTAAATAATTTTTAATTTGTAAATGTATATTGACACATTTACCTAATTTAATTACCGTTAGGCTTGCACTAGTGGTTCACAAATAGGATCGATTTGTTTTGATTAGTTTAATTGATGACTTTAATTGCAGGGGGTACACATTTGTGTTAACTCATAACCCGTGTTACAACACACTTTAACAAGATGCCACCATAAACATCTAAAGCATGGAAATATTGTTAAAGAACGACTGACTCAAAATCTGTCAGATGCAATTTATGTGAATAGGAGTTGTCGTAAACGGTTGGAACTACAAATATGCTTAATCACCTAAGATTGAAAAATAATTTGAAAACCAGTGACTTGCATGAAACTCAACAAAAAATAACCAGTAATTGCAAAGTGTTACAGGGTATATTAATTCTCCTCGATCGCGACATATATCTTCTTCATGTGTTGATAAAATTATTTTCTTAAACAAAAATAAAATCCCCATTTCAAGTGACATTTAAAATCAAAATTCTTCGAAGATATTGTGTTTTTGGAGTTTGTATTTGTAAATAAAGTTCATATATGTGACATTTATTATTTATTTCTATCAATATGTAAAAGGATGAGATTAATAATTAATACGGAAACTATAACCAAAAAACATCCTTTGGTGAAGGAAGATTAAGCGAGTAACCGGTCAATAAAACTCGTCCGAATTGCCAACACTAGTCATATGCAAAAAGAAACCAGAGACAAGTCAGTAGACATTCTAGAAAATTGAAAATGGGGAGGTACAAGTACATGTACCCGTATCTAAAGGTAATATCTCTATCTCTGGTTAATTGTGTATGATTGTTCAATCAAGACATTTTTTGTTCTTTTGGGTAAATGGACTGCCCGTGACGTCACGTAATGGCGTCGCGGACAACGGTGGCACTATTTATGTTATTATCATAGGCATTACATATTTTTTTTATTTACTGAAAATTTTGGTAAAATTGATAGGTATGCGAACTCCTGTGGTTAGATTTAGAATAATCTAATCCTGTTTCGTGATCATGGTGACAGGCCCTGTATTAGAACATTCCTAAGAAAGAGACAAATTAAAGAGATTGAAAAATGATATCAATGATATCATTAGATACATGCTGCATTTGATAATGCTTCTAAATTTGACAGTTTCGTTGTTTGTCACACCTTTCAGGCATTGGCACCTTTGTGTTTATAAGACAAATGTTTTTACAGATGCCGTGTACCTGGTATAAGTGGGGCCCTGTGTGCTGATAACAATGGACTCTGCTTAGCAGGTATATTGCTCATGATTATAGCTATGCTTTTGACAAAATAAAAAATATATAATATTAAAAATATTTTTGTTTAGTTTTGATTTTTTTTAATTTTTAGCTCGAGCCGAAGGCTCAAGTGAGCTTTTCTGATCACATTTTTTCCGGCGTCCATCTGTCTGTATAGCTGTCTGTCTGTCTGTAAACTTTTCACATTTTCGACTTCTTTCAAGAACCGCATAAAACCAAACTTGCCAGGAAGCATCCTTTGGTGAAGAAATCTTCTTGTTCAAGAATAGCCCTCATTCAATGGGAGATAATTGGGAATTAATGAAAATTTGGTGTTATGTTTTAAAAATCTTCTTCTCAAGAACCACTGTGCCAGGAAAGATGAAACTTATGGGGATTCAAGTTTGTTCAAATCATGACCCCTGGGGGTAGGGCAGAGCCACAATGGCCAATCAAAGTTTTACATAGAAATATATAGGAAAATTCTTTAAAAATTATTTTCTCAAGAATAGCAAAGCCATGATTGGTCATGGGACTACTTTTGGATTTAAACTTTTCAATAATAAACCAATTTCTACTTTTTCCTAGCCACAGTGCTCAGGTGATCGATGTGGCCCATGGGCCTCTTGTTGTGTTATATTTTTATTATAGTATATATGGTTATTATTAAAGTCGCAATGTCAAGAATTTAAAATTGAAAATCAGTATTTTATGTGGTATGATTTCTTTTTAACATTCAATTCTTAGCTCGAGGTTGCAAACCAGAACTAGCAGGACAAGTGGCCAATATTGTCCGTCAAGCAGCTCAGCTTCACCCCAATTCCTCCACATCACCAGTTGTCTGTATTGAATCAGAAGGAGGGTGGGTACCACTAGTGTTTAGATTTTATTAATGAATTAAAAAATGTATTTCTTCTTTATACCCTAACTTTACTTAAATAAGATGGAGCATTTCACTTCCTTAAATGTTTTAATTAGAAAAAAAATTAAAATAAATCTTATTTATATTGTTTTAATTTTTGAAATTTTTATGCTACTAGTGAACCTTTTAACTGACAAAGCTCAGCTGACCATTCGTATTTCTCTTTTTAGGAGCGTTTTAATTAAATCCGAGGGTGATGTCACAATGGCTATCTTCAAAAATCCATTATAGCGACAACTTTCCTACCATGTCAACAGGATGTCAGAACTCTTTACTTATTTTGTTTGTAGATATTCTTCTTTGTGTAATTATGTAACATGCTAAACAAGACGTGATTTACAGTACATGTACATGTACGTGTAATGCTTCTCATAGCCGTGACTTAAGTACTATATTCATGAGCAGGCATTTATCATTTTGAATTCACGTTTGACCATTTTCTGAAGAGATTACATTTGTATAATTATGTATGAAAAATAAAGGTGATTTTATGTATTCCAGTTAATTTTTTGCTCTGTCAGTCATTCAAAACACTGATTATTACAAAAAAAAATGATTCCCACTCTTAATGTTTGGTTCTGTATTATAACTAAAACAGATGGTTGTGCATCTGAATGGATTTAAACCTGGGACCTCTGGCATGCATGCCAGTTCAGTGCTCTGTAGCTATGGTGCTCAATTCTTTGAGCTAGAGGGTTAACATGAAAGCTCAAACTAGTGGAATAATGTGCGTCTTACTATATACATTTTCACCATCTCTACTGGAACAGATTTACATATATTTGCAAGTATATTTATCCTTCTTTATCCCCAATAAAGGCTGTGATGTTCAGGGGACTGGGATATTACTTGAAGCTGTTTTGCAGCTTTGTGTTTTTGGAGAAAAAGGTTGAAAGGTGTTTTTAACAGACTAAGGAATAAAAACTATAGCTCCACTGCTTCTAGGTTCAGGTGAGCCAAAACTGATTTACCTGGCAGCATCCTAAACAAGAATATTAATTAATCTTCATGATTGAAATAAATGAAGTACAGTGGACCTTCAGATATCCGGACGCCAGATATCCGGATGCTTCAGTATCCGGACGATTTTTCATTTGAACAGAATTTCTAAAAGTTATTTTATCTTGTTTAAATTAATCTTCATATGATTTTGAAATAAATGAGGCTCCACTGTACATGTATTGTTGAAATTTCCAACTTTCTTCTACTTAATTTAAACTTGTAACAAGCCTTGCATCCTATTCAGAGTACGGGTACTCTTATTAGCATTCAGAGGGCAAGAGGTGCAATGTAAATATATAAATATAAGTAAGCTTCACTGTATGACAAAACCAAGAGACAACAAAAACACACAATTTCAAAACTTTCATTCAAGTTCCATGATGCATTTCAAACATACAAACTACAAATGTTAATAGTTGGTGTTTATGAAGTTTAAAACTGGTGTCTATGTAATTATTAATTAAGTAATGGTGTGTATACATAAAAAATTGCTACATATCTGTTTAAAATATTTAAATAATTCTTTAATTTCGTTAAATACTACATTCAACTATGATTTTTAAAATCCATATCATTTACTTTCTACATCATAATTTTTTCTGGCCAAATTTCAATTTTATAAACTATTTTCAATCACACACCACAATTACATAAGAAACATTACTCAGCTTGCGGAGAGAAAACCTCAATAATTTCATAATCTCACAAAATTAGAAAACAAATTGCATAAAGTATTAATTGTCACATCTCATGTAAATATAATTTAAAGATATTAAGTTACACAATTCCTAAACACTAATTTTCTCTTTTCATCATTTGTTGAGTGGTTTGGTTTCCTCTGGAAAAGAAAAATAATAATAATGTTACATGAGGGATGTAAACTTGGTACTAATGATTTAGGTAAATAAATTTACATGGGGAATTAAGAAATATATATTTATATCAATTCATACTGTGGAGAGAATTTCAGTAGTTGCTTCGGTATTCTTCGCTAAATCATGTAGTTTTTTTTTTTGTATTACAGTGTAAATATATATATTCCACCTTCTTACAAGCTTCTCTTATGACAGTTATCTCTAACACTGATAATTTCAGTTTTACCATTTTCATCATTCTTAGACTAGTGAAAAAAGTAATCACTTTTTCAAATGAATACATAACCAAATCTTCCTTGACCAATTTGTTACATGAACACTTCTATCCAATCAAATTGCAGATTATTTTGTTTTTAACCAATCAATGGCCTTTTCTTGTACAAATTTAACCAATCATTACCTGTGTAATGGTGCCTTCCAATATCTGGGTTGTTCTTATAGTAGCAGTAGGTGATAAAGAATATAATGATGAAGACGACACAGATGCAGGCTGCCGTAACGATTCCCAGAATCAGGTTCTTTGTCACAGCTTCCTCGAATGCGTTCATATTGGACAACTCCTGAGAATCTGCCAAAAATAGACAAACATATTATCAATTGTTATTAATGCACAAATATGCATCGGAAAAGGGGGTTAGGGGGTTTAGTCCCCATTTTTGCAATGATAGACATATTATTAAAGGCATTGAAAATTGGGCCTTAGTCCTCAAACACTTTTTTTATATGTTGGTTAAGCCCCCGCCCCACTTTCAATACCCCTCCCCTTACTTTCAATGTGATTTGCTTCCGATGCCTATATAGTGCAGTATGAGAAAAAGTTTAATTTAATCCTTTCGTTATCGTTGCCGCTGAGCACAATTGAAATTAACTAAGCAGACATTTGCAAAAACTATATATTGAAATACATACATGTATGTTTTTCATTTCTTTATTGGCCTAATGGTGAGGGAACCTCTCTCACCCCCACCCTCCTCCCTCCCACAATTTCAAAAAATAAATCATTTTGAAGAGGAAATGAGTAAAAAGGCTGAAAATTGTATGAAAGAAGTGACATAGATAACTTTTAGAACACTTCGAAACGTTCCCCCCTCCCCAACCCTCCCCATCAACGCCCATACCATGCAGTTCCCCTCTCGGTGGCTCGCACCTGTCCTTTTTGTCACTATCTCAATCCAACAACCCCTACCTTCGTTAGATTTCATCACAAGGTCTTTGGAGGCGCCAGGACATTCCGAATATATTTCAAACTTGAACTGGAAATCAGTTGAAGGCAACGTAACGGAACGGTCTGTTGTGAGTTTAACCATTATGGAATTTCCTGTAAAACACGTCGACTGCATTGTTTTGTCCGTATGTGTTAACCTTTTCTGAAAGTTAAGCAATAAACAAAGATTAAGACATTTTCTAAAATATAGATGGAACAAACTATTTGTTCAGTATAATATTTTACTAAAAGTGAAACTATTTCTTTTCTTTTCTTTCTTTTTTTTAAATAAGATATTTGATTTTTTTTTTTTTTGGGGGGGGGGGGGGGTTATGGGGTGCTTAATAAACGAGTTCAATTAATGTGTATACTATTAACTCAAGAAGTATCTATGATGTGTTTAAAGAATAAAATCAGCAGTATTCTTATAGTCCTCTACCGTTTCATTTTTGTACACGTTTGTAAACATCATTTCTATTCCACTTCTATCTATTGTGATCGTCTCGGGCTTTACACAGATTTTGTTCAAACAGTTGACGCTCCTGGGTAGGACAAACTCCGTGTCACAGCTTCCCCTGAAGACCTGCCCCTCGGAGGAAAGGGTGAATTTCTTCCAGGGGAGGAGGGACCACCCCCGCCCACACCCCCACACCTTGTTCTGATAAAACTCATACAACGGCATCTGGTCCGGATCCTGCCATACCAAACCACTGTTGTTCATTATGACTAAAAATAAAAAATGTATTTAAAGTGAAAAAAGAATTAAAGGTACTTAGTCTTAAATTGCTGTTAAAATAAACTTTGACAAATTAAAGGGACTTGCATGTTGCTTAAATACCAACCTCCCATTATTTAAAAAAAAAAACAAAAATAGAATAAAAAAAAAATACGTAAGTACGTAGTCTATCATAAAATAATATTCAGAGCATTTGTAATCAAAAGGACTTATTGTTATTTTCGAATGGGGGGGGGGGGGGGGGGCTGTACTGCATAAATTTACATTTCAACTAGCGTTTGAAATACCAAAATACAAACATTTTTAAAATAAATTCTGCAATGCCATGAGTTCTGAGTCAACACGCTGCCGTCCAACTTACATTTATGTGTACTAAAACAGATGAAAAACACGAATAAAGTCAGTAATTTATTTTTTCATGAAAAATTACCCGAAAATTGAAAAAAGAGCACCTAAATCTCCCCCCTTCTGAGAGCCTTGTTTAATTTGCGCATATCATATTAGCTCACTACTACTACACGTAGTATTGGGGTTTTCTTGGCTTGTTACTTTTTCACTCATGGACACGAGGGCAAATTTGAAATAACTTTTATACACATAGTTTAAGCTAGGAAGTTTCACATATGGTACTTAAAAAGATATTTAAATAACTCCATCTCCTTTTTATTGTGTCATAAATAACATTATTATCAAGGATAGTGGTTGTGCATGACCTTCTTTTGAAGAAGAAACTTGTATAATTTCCTTAGCTTTACCCAGGGACGTACTGGAACGCATTGTTAAAATTAATCAAATGAATTACAAAAGAATTTGAGAAATTATGAGAAATTGAAAGCTTGATCATAAAGATATCATCTGCACAAATGGACAGATAGATACGGACAAATTCAGTAACATATATATACATGTAGAAAATTTCACACCATATTTCTGGTCTTTGTGAGAAATTTCTAAACTATTTTACTATATGCATAATATGTATATATTGTATTTTCAACAGCTATATAGTTTTTCTGGCGAGTGCAAATTAAATAAATAAAATCAAATATGAATCAAATCCATCATGAAATTTAAGCAAATGAATCCCTAATAGATACTAGCTCTAATTTTTGGATATTTTTCGGAGTTTCGTAAGTCTGGGAAATTAAGAACGTAAAGAATATGATAAGATTTAAAAAAAAAAAGGAATTGATACAAGATTTTATTAATCCAGGAATTGATATATTTACGTGAATACATATTCAAGTAAGTATATGTGTACACATGCATGAACATACTGATGCCGATTAAAAGGATCGTGTCGGTACAAAAATTAGGTTTATTAAAACTTACTCTAATAATTACCTATAGAGTATTTTTTTCAGCAAAGGTTAATGAATGGTAACATTCACACACACGCCAAAGTCTGATACAAAAACCAGATGCTGTACCATAAATAGTACCTTTACGTCAGAATACCATGCAATCTCTCTCTCTCTCTTGTATACTAATACGTTAACCGTACTGTATAGTATTAAAAGAAACAGGCGACCGACTTTATTTAGCAGTTAAGCAATAATCCTAATTTATTAATATTGATAGATTATTAATATTATTAAATATACATTTTTTTAAATCTATGATTTCAATAAAAACTAAAAAAAAAAAAAACAACTTACTGTGGATATTCTTCATTCCCATTGGTGCGGCGCTCACTACGCCCAATATGGCAGCGGCAAGGAAGAGGATCCTGGAGTCCATGTCGAGAATTTCCCTGAGAACGGCTCCCTCTGTAGCTGAAGGTCACCCCGGTCACACGATTGGGGGGTATCAAATCTGAATAGAACACGGTACCTGATTAGCAGGATAACTACAGACAGATGTTAATATCTATAGATACATAAATCAATTAATGCTTTGGTTGATTCGGGGTCTTAGTACATACCAAAATTTGTCCGATATAAATATATCGCTAACAGGGCCTTTTTACTTTGGCACCATTGTACTCCTTGTGGACAACGAGAAATCAATGTTAGCGAATGAATGTAAAGAAGAAAACGTCAAAGGCAGAGAATTGCACTGGGGGAATTTAAACTTCGAGTAAGTATATATATTAATCTTTCCTAATAACTACAGTTTTGTTTACACTTTAAATACTTTTTTCGAAATGAGGAGTTATTTCAATAGGACGAATTCTGAATGGATTTGTATGAAGCATGTGGTACTATATAGGTGATATCGTTGATTTACTCCTACCGTTATGTTCACAAAAATTTTCCCATCAACATTTTTTTTTTTTTTTTTTTTTTTTGCAAAAAAATAATCGATATATATTTCTGTAAAACTTGTATATATACTGTATGTTTAAATGCTATTTATGTAAATTAATGTATAGTTGCCAAAATAAAATAATAGTTTATCCATCTTTATATATAGAGATTTCATTATGTAAACATCATTAAAACTAACTAATAAAACTATCCAGGGTGCATGTGCACTAATAAAGCATCCAAGAATGAATTTATTAGCTGGGTGCCGAAATATTCCTATAAATGTGTTGTGTCATTGACTTGGCTTTTTCAATGTCAGAGACAAGTGGTCAAAACATATCGCTGATATTGGCAGTGCACCAAAACTATTTCATTAAAGGAAATGTTGAAATCTTCGTTTTGAAAATGAACATTCAGTGGCCTTTTTTCTTTAAATAAAAAAATACATACATATATATATATATTTATATGTTCTTTCCATAGAAACTAAAGTCTTACCTGAAGGAATTTCCTAGTTATAAATCTTTATCCAGCTGACATGTGCAGTTTTTCACTTAATACATTTAAACTGTGATCGCCAATGTTTATTTTGTAACAGTAAAAGTACCCCCCCCCAGAACTTGATTTACAAACTTGGGCACACAATTTCCACTTACCAGTAAAACGGCTAAAAATAACGAATGGCCAGAGACCTCAGTGCGAGTTTAGACTAGCGTAATGCTTCAAAATGTGTACACGCTTGGTTAATACTTATAAGTCATAAATACAAATGGTTTGATATGTTTGTTGAACTTAAAGGGACGCATTATACTCAAAAGGACGGGCGAATGCATATATCGATCTGGGTTCTTGAACTCTTTTTTAATTAAACTTAATCTTTTTTTTTTTAATCATCATTATCTCATGATTGTTAGATATCGGATGTATAATATCCGATTTAAAATTTTGATGTGTGTCTTTTATTTCTGTAGAGTTGAACCGAGTTTGTGAAGGAACTTTGTGAAGGTGAAAGCAGACATTTCAAAAATGAAGGAATTAATTCGTGTATTTCCATACAGCCTTACTCAGCTGTTACTGTCATTATGTTTCCTTCCTACTTGGAGGAGAGTGAAACGGAACTTATAGACTTACTACAGAAATGCAATGACCAAGAACTGTAAGTACCTAATATGTTTTGATTTTTTTTAACATAATTATTTTCAATGAAATCATTCATAGTAAGAGAAAACTGATTTCAAAATGCCTAACATCCCTGGTCAATAAAAAAGTCATCAGTCTAAGTCGGATTTCCCAAAGAAATTCTACTTAATTCCATAAAGTAAGGACTTGGACATCCTCCCAGTAGAAACTGGACTCCTCAAGTTGTAAGATGAGTATTCTTAATACATGTACCACCAATTTAATTTGATTTATAGAAAGTATTTTCCCCGCTCAGAAAAAATTACTGGAGCCTCCCCTATTACATATTGCTAGATTTACGCCGCACTATTTATAACGTTCCTTGGATGTATCCCAGAGCTTACCGAATCAATAATGTGCATATATGTACGTGTCTATGAAGAGTGATTCCAGAACCCGAAAGTAGATTTTTTGCTTCATTTACAACTGTTTCAATAATCCCGTTTTTATTCTCACTTCGAACTTTTTCTAGCGCTAATACTTTATTATACCCCCCCCCCCCCTCCTTAGCATTAGATGTTCGTCCATTCTACCATCATGGATACTATACACTCAACAGTCTTCATCAACATTACCGCTACATTGCCAAAAATTTCAACTCATTACCGCTACATTTTTTCAGATTTTCGACCGATCTTTACCGCTACATTTTCCCGACCAAAAACAAATCATTACCGCTACATATTGAATCAGCCCAAAACAACTCATTACCGCTACATATTGAATCAGCCCAAAACAACTCATTACCGCTACATATTGAATCAGCCCAAAACAAATCATTACCGCTACATATTGAATCAGCCCAAAACAAATCATTACCGCTACATATTGAATCAGCCCAAAACAAATCATTACCGCTACATATTGAATCAGCCCAAAACAACTCATTACCGCTACATATTGAATCAGCCCAAAACAACTCATTACCGCTACATATTGAATCAGCCCAAAACAACTCATTACCGCTACATATTGAATCAGCCCAAAACAAATCATTACCGCTACATATTGAATCAGCTTAAAACAACTCATTACCGCTACATATCGATTTAGCTAGGTATGGTTCGGTATATGAGTTCTAATCAACAGACTTCACTTACTGTTAAAACAGAATGAGTATATATATTTATATGAATAACTCTGCAGTTGAAACTAATTCAATTAAATAGCGTCATCTGAACATAATGGCCACAAAGTTTGTCACAAATTGGGAATACCGGCTTACTCATATGTATCGATGGTTATAAATTAATTTAGAAAACAACAATATGTCAAGCAAATGGCTTTCAAGGCTTTAGCGATAGTGTAAAAACATTTAACAAAACTTAGAATTTTATCTATGAACAGTTCTTGATTTTTATTTTTTGTGTTTTATGATATAAAATTGATTTTAATAATAAAAAAAACATCCTGCTCAAAGTCCTACTTTCACCTGCGCGCGCGCGCGCGCGCGCGCGCGCGCCCGCGCGCGCGCGCGCGCGCGCGCGCGCGCGCGCGCGCGCGCGCGCGCGCGCGCGCGCGCGCGCGCGCGCGCGCGCGCGCGCGCGCGCGCGCGCGCGCGCGCGCGCGCGCGCGCGCGCGCGCGCGCGCGCGCGCGCGCGCGCGCGCGCGCGCGCGCGCCCCGTGGTAAGCAGGGGAAAAGGTCTTATGCATTTATATGTTGTACTGTACACGCATATGTGGCTGGCTAACGAAAGAGGCAATGTAGCGGTAATGTATACATTTTTATGTAGCGGTAATGTAAGGTTTTTTGTAGCGGTAATGACTATGTAGCGGTGATGAAAATTTTGAAAATATAGCGGTAATGATACGCACCCATATAAACAACTAATACCACTACTTTAACAATTTAATCAATAAAATAAGTTTGGCAAACTTGGTGACTGTTGAGGGGCATACTACAAATTTTACCAAAAAATTGAAGTAGCAAACGCAAAATCCTACATTGGGGGTCTATTAAAAGAATTATGTCAGCACCCATTAATGTTCAAAAGGAATGGACAGAATATGGTCGATCACAGACTTGATGACCACAGTGGCTACTTGCCCGGAATTTGCAGAGTTATTACAGTGTATTGGACCTCCCTAGGAAACGCAGAATAGGTTTTTCACGTTTGGGAAATGAATTTACATTTTTTTTTTTGATTGTCAAGAAATTTTTGGGTTCGAATTTCTTTTTTAATTGGATGGAACCCCCCCCCCTTTCCCCGAAAATAGTCCTGGATCCGCACCTGGGCCAAAATTCCCCAAATAGCTCAGTAGTATAGCACTTTACTGGTCTGTCACCTTTTCCAACATCGCCCCTTATATTTGGTGCCTTGCAACTTGCAAGTAACAGGTATAAGACCTATCAGGGAAGGGTTGGTATCACTGGGGACCAAAGACCTTTAAGGAGGAAGAAATAAGGCATTCAAACAAGTCTGATTGCCAAATGGGCAGATAACTGATCAGTTGGTAGAGCTCCTGGCTGAAAAAGGAGGGGGCCTGGGTTTGAATCCCTCACATTTTACTCTTCTCCCGTTAGTATATTCAATTTTGAATGTAAAAGGAAAAAATAATTAAAAATAATTATTAAAGAGTCTGAAATAATTATGATTTATGAATAGGAAAAAGGTCCATATCACTAAAAACATATGAAGCGAACTTGTTGAACTTCTTTTAGAAATGAAGTACAAAACACAGAATAAAATCAAAAATTTATTAATAAGTGTGTAAAAGCACCCACTTCGCTTGCAGCCAGATGTTATATATACAAAAATGTGACACAATTTTGCCAGAATAAAAATTCTTACAATAAATTTTTCTATTGTTAACAAAAGTATATTCCAGTTCACAAATATGAAATTTGTTTACAGAGATTGGATTTCTTATGTAAAACAAAAGCCAAAAAAGAGAATTTACTCCAAAAATATGTTGATTTATGTGGAGTCTTTTTAAAAAAAAAATTCAAAAGGAAATACAATACAAAAATTGCATTGAAAGACTTAGTCAAAAACAATGACTGTCTGAACGTTGCAGGAGTTATCTTTCTTAAAGTGTGCTTGTTGACAAATATAAACATCTGACGAAAACTGATTGCACATTCTGTATTAAACACAGTAATATTGTCCTTGTAATAAATCAAGCATGGATGGAGATGATTGGACAGACACAATCTGCTGATACAACCTAAATACATGTATATACTTCAATATACCACAAGTAGGCCAAAAAAATAAACTCTAAATATCTACACAACCAGTCTACACTATGGAAAAAGTGGGGATGGGGTTTCACTGAATCACATGTGGGTATTGCATCCAAGTTTTTACAAAATCAGTATAAATTTGCTGTTCTGATAACTGACTTCTGTTCACAACATGAACAAGAGAAAAAAAAATTCCCGTTATTAAAAATATAAACATCATTTAATGCCTTGGTGACTTTTAAAATACAAAATCTTTCAATGGTTAAGAGAATACATAAAAGATGTAAATAAACAAGACTCTCTTTTTCTTAATTTGGAAAATAAAAAAATTGGTTTGTATTCCCCATCCCTGCTACATGGACTCTCTGCTAACAATCCTAGTTTTTTTTTCTTCACAGACATACTGAACCACACAAGGATCTAACACACAAACATACATACACAATATAGAGACACTTTAACACAGGAGTAAGTTATCATTCAGGTATTAACAATAGAACCTAACTAGAGCACCTAAATCTACAAGGAATTTCATTGTATGTGTGAAAACAATGCCATAATGCTTATGAGACGTGTGTAACATCGATGAAATCTACCGCAACCTGCAGTACACATTGACTGAGCTAGATTGAAAAAGCATATTATCCCCCTTAAATGCACAAATAAAATATAATTTTTTTAGATAAAAAAATACAACCAGATATACAATAAAATTAATGTTTTCATAATCACGTAATGCATGATAGATAAAATGGATAAAATAACATTGTATATCAAAGAGACTGATCAACAGAGAATGAATACTCAGTTGTATATACGTAACTCTTAGCTTTGCGTACTTGAGCAGAGTATACATTAATATAACCACTTAGTGATTTATAGTGATTCTTAACTTTCAAAGTTTGAAACAAACCTCTCATTCAAATTCTCTTCTGAACACAAAAACACTATAGATATCAAATCCTCCATTTTAAAACAAGACATCTTGATTATATAAAATATCATCATTAAAAAAATGAAAATTTATTAATACTCATTTTCAAAATTATACTATATTCAGAATTAGGGTGAAAAAAAAAAATTGACTAATTAAAAACTTCAATAACAATTTTTAAAAAAATATCGTGAATATCACTAATTAACAACCCCTGATCAATGCCAACAAATCAAGTTTAAAATTATGCATCAGTAAGTATCGGAAAAATATCCCAATTTTCTTCGACAAAATAAATCATTTTCCATTACATTAAACCCTTAATTACTCTACTAATTATGACACGATAATTAATCATCTAGAAGGAATGGTTCAGGGTGACGACGGTCCTCTCTCTACTCGTCGCTCTTCTCCTCTTTCTCTTCCTTCTCCTCCGCCGGCTCCTCGTTGATCTTGATGGTGGGAGATCCGTGGTCGTCCTGAGTCACCACCGCGGCAGCGGCAGGGGCAGCGGAGGAGACCAGGGGCTGTAACTCTGAGTCCTCCGTCTTCTTGTAATGTCCCTCCACGCGTTTGTCCTTAGCTACCTGCTCGCCCATCGTCTTCTTTTCTTTGCTGAAGGTTTCCTCTGTTACAATAGAGATAACAGCAATATATTTGTATCCTTGAATAGAAAACAGTTCTAAATTTAGATTTATGTATTTGAAGTAAATGAAATTACAGTAAAATAAAGTTATAGCAAACTTGTCCGGCTAAGCAAAGTTCCTCTGTTACACATTTATTCAGTTTACTGGTTATTCAACTAGTATTTCATCACCTTTGATAATTTGTTGACACAAATTGTGTATCCAGTGAGTATGTATCCACAGAATTTTACATGCTTAAACCAATTACTAGTATTACAAGTATCTTTAGTCAAAAAACAGTGTCAAATAAGTTTAACTGCATTTTGCATACATACCAAGTTTGGATGTTTTGGGTTGACTTCTCCTCTTGCGTCCCTGGGGGTTGTTCTTGTAATAGCAGTAGGTAATAAGGAGCAGGACCAGGAACATGCAGCAGATGATGATAGCGACGATGACTCCGTAGACGATATTCATCGTGGTCGCAGCCTCCAGCTCATCAGCTTTGCTGAACTCCATGGAATCTTAATAAGCATCAACAACCCTTTTTATAAATGAATTTTCACTTGGTTTCAACATGTTCAAGAGAATATTTTTTCAATGCAGTACATTAAATGAATAATAATATTAAAATTTTCAGTTACAATTCAGTGCAACCCCAAACACAATTTTTGTTTTTGCTTGATATCAGACATTTGCCTTCATTCCTCCAATTTTTCCCCCTTGTAAACCCGATAGTTACTGACCTTTGTTGGAAGCTTCTACGAGCCCTTTAGGATAACCCGGACACTCAGGGTACAGGGCAAACTTAAAGCTGTAAGGTTTATCTGGGACCTTGTTGTCAGCCCACATCTTGGTGTAGGCTTGATCCTCTAACACATGAATGTCCACTTTAATTCCCTCAAAGCATTTCACTGTCATCTTTTCATCTCCAAACTTCATAATTTTCTAAAATTTTAAATAAAAAGATTATTCAGCTGAAATTTTTCTATTAAATTAAGTATACATATTCCTGGGGACACAATTTCTGAGAATCATACTTTCACCTCATTCAGCAGGTAGAAAATAACATGGATTACATTGCATGTCTTGCATGTACTTAAAGAATGTTGTGCCAAACTACCAAATTAATGAGTAGAACTGTACATTTTAAATAAGGAATGATTGATTACATTACTTTGCAAGGTTTATGCATTTAATGACTACATGAAAATTTGCATACTGTTTTATGTTTTTCATAAGTAAAAATGAAAATTTTTGTATAAAAACCTATATTTCAAATTAGTTGTACATAAATTTCAATTTCCTTTTGTTGACATATTATATGCTCAGCCATTACCAACACTTTACAACTTACCGTCTCTTTCTCGCCAGTAAAGGTGATGTTCATGACGTTAGCGTCCAGTGTCCACTCGTCCACTCTGACGCAGATTTTGTCCAGACATTTTGTAGACTTTTGGAGCACCACGGTGGTGCTGCAGTTGCCACCGACGGCCCGACCGTTGGACACTAACTCGTACTTGTAGTCATTGGTGACAGGCAGTGTCCATCTTTTCCCACACTTGCCTTGATAACTTCCAACATTTTCCATGTAGACTGCAAAATTCAAGCAAAAGTGTTCAAATCAACATGCTCAAGTCTAGTCATTTTAATTTTAAATGTCCTTATTGCATTTTTTTTTTACTACAAGAGATAAAGATGAGAGTTATTTCTTACTTAAATTCTACCTGCACAATTTGTAACATTAATTTTACAAATTTTAAAAACTTAAAAATGTTTCTGCAGTATGTTTCAACTTTAATTTTTTTTTTTAGTATGAGAGATAAAGTTAATTCTTTTAAATTCTTACTCATATTCATTTCTACCTGCCCAATGTGTGGTGCATAGTTTCAGTATGTTTTTGTCGTTTTACTTATTTATTTTACTTACAGGTCATGTTCTGTATGTTTCTACTTTTGCTTTACTTACAGGTCATGTTCTGTATGTTTCTACTTTCACTTTACTTACAGGTCATGTTCTGTGGCTTTATGGGAGCCGCAAATAGAGGAGCCGCGGCCAGAACCACCAGGAGACAGGGGAGGAAACTCTTCATTGTGCTAGTGTCAGTTATCTCTCCTACAAAACAACAAACTAAGCACTGAATACAGAAACGATGAAGTAATCTAACAATTTCATAATACAGAATAATGAAGTTGATAACAATATCATGCTCCTAATCTCCACATTGAGAGAAGATTTTCTGTAATTTATTTCTTAAATAAAACATCAAATTTATTCATTTCCTTGGAAATGTTGGAAAGCCATATGAACTTAACATATTATATCATTCTGCCACTACTGACTTGATTGAATTGGTATTACATTGTATGCATACATTCTTGTAACAAATAGTCAAATCAACAAGATCAAGCAGGGGTTAATATCCCCTGATTTTTTTTTTTGAAATGAGTTTTAATGTGCAAATGATATTTTCATTATATCTTCCATTTGAGAAAAAAACTAATTACATTATTCCATACCCCGCCCCCTCCAACAATGCTCTCAAAATATTGACTTGGAGATTTTATTTCAGATAGGCTAGGATGTCCTAGAAATGTACCACACCAGACCAAATACACATCAGAACTGGGCCGTAACATGACATTTTATTTGGCTTGGATCCCGCCATCAGATGATTAATATCCCCAACAGATAGTGATATTTAATCAAATCTACTACACAGCTCTCTCTGAAACAGTGAGATGCTCTGGCACGAAAAGTTAGCAATCACTTTGATGTCCAAATGTGGGAAAAAAAACCCACCAAATTTAATACACTTCTAGATGTAAACAACCATGTAAAGCTTGTAAGGCATTCAAATAACTGTGATCCTGTGATGTAGTGTTTTTCATACACATGCCTAGTATATATATGAAGTAGGATATATTTTCACGATATGGGCAATTGTATGGTTGTAATATGGGAGTCTGTTTTTATCTCAATATACTGAAAAACAAGAAATTTTGTCATTTCATTTCTTAAACCTCCAACTAAAGAAATATTTTAAAGATTTTGCATCATTTGAAGTATTAGGGTCATATTCTAAAAGTTGTTTTGGCACGTTTACCATGTTTACAGTTGAAGTAGAAATAATATTAACAAAATCTGTCTTATAAAATGTTGATTTCAAGTTGTATAAAAATCAATTTGATACTTGGAGACAGCCTACTGTTTTTTCATCCAATTACAATTTGCAAGATAATAAATTATTCAGTTTCTTTTTGCTTTCCATAGTTTCTTTACTGCAGATGTTTGTTTTCATGCCATAATTTAGTATATTTACGTAACAACTTGTCGTCAATGTGCTCATGCGTAACAATAATTTTGTTTTGTGAATAAAGTAATGCGTAACAATCATTTCATGAGACGAAAACAGTTTTGCAATGACACTTTGACAATTTACTGGCTTAACTTAGAAATAAAACATAAACTTGGCATATTGTAACTGAGTGTTGACTGTTGATATATTTTTTTAGGATGATAAATTTTTGTCAATGTATGGAATAAATAATCTGAATAATACATACTGCACCTTGTTTCAAAATAAATTTAGTCTGAAATGTTTACTTAAGATATATTTTTCTAATAAGAATATTTCTGAAACTAACGTTTATTTAATTTTCTGAACAGTTCTTCTTTATAACGACATGAAAGAATACTCATTTCCAATTTGAATAAATTAATAAATGACAAATTTTAATGATGGTGATTTGTCCCCTTGCAGATACACCAGTGGAATTAGGCAGACTTTAACATCTCTTCGATCATTAAACATCTTTGGAAGCATTGAAATTGATTTATATTGAATTATAATGACTTAATTTTAGCCATTTGCACAGGTGTTTTGAAGAAGGGACCACTATTTCTTATCAAAATTTGTCCTTTTGTCATTGTTTATGTCTTGCAGTAATTCCAATAATTCCCTAACTGTACCTTATAGTTCTGCAATATTCTAACAGATGGAAGAGACTTACACAAGACTAGAATTTAGATACACTATACCAAGTCACAGTGTTCTCTCAACTGAAATTTCAAGCCCCAGTCACCTAACCTACTAGACATCTGATGTCTGACAACATGTTTTTAATAATAAAGCCCTGTGGTATGCAAATTTAAAGAATAAAGTTGACACTTCAAGGTATTTTTTGTTGTTGCACGTTTTTCCTAATCTCCTTAAGGGTACCATAGGCAAGTCATCACCTTATGTGTGAAATCAATGCGATATGAATACAGACATTTTAATATGGAGTTAAACTTTTGATACCATAGGCTTATGACCCTGCATGATACAGTGTTTACACTGTAATTTTTTCAACTGCAATAACGAGTTAACTCTAAATAATGAAAGATTTTTTTTCTACATTTATCATATTTTATTAATCTCAATTTTAATGTACAATAAAAAAAATCACGCATTTCCAGTGCCCTTTTAAATGAGATCAAATAATGTTGTCAGAATCTTGGATAAGGGAGGGGATCCAAAGGAAGGATGATGTAAATTTTTGTGGTTAAAACAAAAAAGGCTCTAATTATAAAGAGCAGGTGCTGTCATCGTTGTTACCAACTTGCTAAACATCTTGATTCTTCTGTTAAAATTACCTAGTATCTGTGTACCACCTGCAGAAATGTAGTTATATACAGAAATACGGTGATGATTTCTACAAATGTATCAAACCTACAACAATTTACTGGATAAAAATAGAAATTAATAGACCAATGATCAGCTGATTATATATTCTCGGATGTCTTTGTGTGAGATGACAGTTGATGACAAACGAGCATCATATTTCCCTAATTAAGTACAAATATAGGTCAAGGTATGCAAGAATGTCCTGTCAAAACATATGTAGGTATAGTACTACATGAAAGACTTAGCGCCTGCATTTTGTGCATAAAGCTATTAAAACATGGGGCCTGGATTATAAACCTGCTTCCTATATCCGTACACATAACAAATATCTCATGATTGTATGCCCCCAGGGAAGAATAACCGACACCTGTTTTTGTTACACACGGTAGTACCTGGGGTGCGTTGTTTTTAGATTGTCTTAGATTACGACATCCCAAAGACTAGTCAACCGTGGGACACGCTTTGGAGGCGCAAGAATTCCCCCGGTCACCCTGACAGATTTCTCTGGAGAAATTCTCAGATCAATTTGTCCAACATTCAATTATTCCCCTCTGAAAATCATGCTGCAACATTCCAACCTTAAATCTCCCAAGAAATGAGCTCAGCCACCTATAACATTCGCCGATCACCTACCTGCAACATTTCACCTTCAAATCACCCGTATACACATAGAAAGCATGCACTCAGAATAAAAGAAATTTCAGCCATATTCACGTGAAATAGCTGTAATAATTACCGATTTGCTCTTCCTCTTTTTCAGTGCAATATTCACAGATCAAGCATGGGTTGTAAACTAAGTTAAATCTCACGTGTATTCTTATTTAGAAACTCACCTCTGTTCTTTCGAAATCAAGACCTGATCACACACAATGCGCTTGTGCAAGTCCGCCGCCGACCTATATCCTTTCACAAAGAGCCGATAACTGCGCGATACTCCGACTGATAGTGTAAACAACCACAAAGGGGCACCAGAGGGGAATTTTTCTGACTCGCCACTCGACACTGGATTGATTTAGTGACCGTAAATGGACACTGTATATATCTGTAATCTTTTGAAAATAAAAGGCCTGATTAAATGGCATTAATTAGTTCTTGAATAGCAAGGACTGAGACATGAAAAATCAAACGTTTTATTTCATAATTTAGATCTTCAAAGTTTATTACATGTTAAATTCCCTCTCTGTCCTTTTTCATATTTTTTTATATACTAAAATTTAATTATATACCCATTTGTTTAAGCATAATTTTAAGGAACCTATTATCTTAACTTTAATTCTTAACAGCATTTTAATTCATTAATTTTGATTTGAAAATAAGCATTTTCTCTTATCACAATTTTAATCGAATTTTCTTTTAAAATACAATGTACATGTATATTATAATGAATTTATGTACTATAATTCAAAAAAAAAAAAAAAAAAAAAAGGACCTAATTTTATTCATTTATTTAACAAAATTAAAACCTATACAATCGTCATGTTTTTGATGGGCATTTATGAAAACTATCTTTCTTGTTTTTGGCTATTAAAACAGACAACAATATTGTCTTTATAAAATTCACTATTCTAGATGAACTAGAATTTATTTCTGTAATTTATACCCATTATCCCCCTTTTAAGGGATGAATTCTTAAAACATATGTCAGTTTCAAACATTTTATAATTATTGCATTAAGATGAATTTTTTAGGTGAAGATAGATGTACCTCTGAGGAACTTATATACAAATTTCTACCAAAATCAGTAACATCTAAGGTTTAACGTACCACTTTTCAAAACTTGATATTGCCATTCATGCAATTCAAGACTTTTTGACATCAAAGATATAGCTGAGTCATTTTCAAAATTTGTCCAAATTCCACCACCAGTTTTTTGCAAAAATAAATGTGGCGATCTAAACTTTTTAAAGTTTTATTTTAGCATTCAAACATCATAGATGCATAAACGATGTTAAAGCACAAAGAATTCTATTAACATATACCAAAATTAACATTATATGTACATGGACTCAACAATAAATGTCCATGGTGTTACTTACTTAAAAGTCGTAGTAAAATCATAATTTAAAAAAAAAAATTCAGGTTTTTAGAATAACAACCTCAACATAGTGATAAAATTATTCTATTGAATCAAACTGAAGTTTCATAACAGAAAATTATCAGATAAAGTATTGCTGGAAGTTGTAAGTGTTGTAACTTTTGCCTATATCTTACATGTTTACTTAAAGCATACATCATTTACCTCAGCACAAAATACTTGCTTTGCAAATAAACTTAGTATTAGAAAACGACAGTATTGTGTTGCAAGTTTCGATAAAATTGTATAAAGATTTAGAACATAAATATAGGAAAGATGTGTTGGTAACACCAAGGATATTTGCATAACACAAAGGACATAAAGGTTACACTAAGGATATTTTGTGTAATACTTAGAAAGAAATAATAAATTGTTCCCCTTCCTTCCAAATAGGATAGTAATGAAATTACCCTAGAGGTGAATATAAGAGTATATGGTTTTAAGATAAAAAATTGGCGGGGGATTTCTTTCATTATACATTTTGAGTCTGACTAGTAACACCAAGGATAAAACAGTAACGACATAGACATAACTATCCAATCATAAAGATATATGACAATAGAAAAATGAAATCAAATTGATATGCCCGAATAATAAATGATTACTATCACATGACTTTGAATCATTGATCAGTACTTGTTAGTGTATTTACATATCCAAGCAGATGCTGTAACACCATTGACAAAAAATAACACAAAGGACATCTTTAAAAGATCCATAGGTTTACATAGACGAGTCTTAGATCAGCTAGAACTAATTTTTAATGAAGAAATAATTGTGAAACTAATACATGTACATGTATTTGTAAATGACCAGATTTCAAACATATAGAATGCATTAATCTTTTTATGGATTTTACATTTTCATTTCATTTATCTACAGCTAACCTCTATCCACAATGAGCTCTCTACATAATACACATCTACAAGATATGATGGTGACAATATAATTAAAACATTAGCAATGCTATACGAGCTTTTATCTTTTAGAGTTTTTGGCCTGTTAAAAAATAACATGGTTTTAGGTTCTGTCTAACCCTGTGCATACATTTAAGTTCATTTTTTCGGTATTTTTATCCAATCTCTCTTCCAAGGATCTGATTTCTCTTCATCTGTAGTCTAATGTTCATTATTGAACTCCAATTGTTTCTCTTCCGGGGTGTCAGTCTTTTCAGTTTCTTTAGTCGGATTTCCTAGCAGAAACTCTTGACTTTTTTCAATCTGTACTCTTTTTCATAGATATTTTTTCCGCCCTTTTTGTTCTTGTATCCACTGATCGTTTGCCAAACTTTCATTGTCAGTTCTTCAGGGTAACAATCCAACAAAGTGGCTTGAAATGTAGTGGCCTGCCACCATATCTGGCCTTGTTGTTGTCCAATGCTGCCTCGACTATATAATCTTCACCACCACTTTCCAAAAGCTTATGTACATCCAAGGTTAAAAACTTCTTTCAGCACCAACTTTTACAGGATGTAGAACACAGTCCTGAGGGATTTCAGTTAGACAAATCTGAAGAACATCCTCAACTAAATGCAAAACTGTATTCTATGGTAATGACTGTTTCATTGTCTCCTTAAAAACATCTTTTGAAATCCTTTTAGATCAGTTATGAACAATTTGTGACTTTTTCAACTAAGGGTTTACATGATTAAAGGATTTTAAATGCATTTGCAAAGAAATGTTCCATATCTGATATACCTTTAAAGGTATTTGCAATTCAATGATATAAATCTATCTTTTACGTCTTGGATTCTATTGGCTTCATTGCAACTTTTTAATGTGTCTTGTTTACATCATCTTCATCAAGAGAACATAACTAGAATCCTCAGACTGAAGACAACAAATCATATTCTGCCTTATTTCACATTCCCTTGTGTTACCTAAAACTTCCTTTGTGTTACCATTTTTAACCATCATTTATTTTTAGCACTTCATTATTTTATTTTTACTTTAATTGCAATATCCCATCACAATTGTTTTCTGCAATACAATGAACACAATTACCACTCCATATGCAATACGCTTGTTTCATTTTTCTATCTTTAATCCTTGCTGTGTCCCTTGAGTAACTGAATTTGTCTATGGTGTTACCATAGGTTACTATTAAAGAGCATAAAAGGGGATATGATTGTGTTACATAATGAATTTTGATATTTCAATTTATTCAAAAGGAATAAAAGTTGTAGTATATTTTCCTACAGAAACAAAAGAACAAGCAATAGTATATTAATAACTTAAATATTTAATCGTTTTTAAATCCATTGTGTTACCAAACATTGTCCTTTGTGTTGCTCAAATTATTTATTGAATTAATTTATAGCTCATGGAAACATAATATGAAAAATAAATGCCAATTTGATAAAAATATTTCTGTTATTTTATATTGTAATAAACTTTACACAAATGTTGTATTAAAATTGGCAATTTAAAGGATTTTTTTTTCAATTGGTCCACGGAGTTACCCAATTCTGTCCTTTGCATAACCAAGACTGCAAAATCATATGATTTTCAAATGGTAAAAACATTTAGTAAATAATTTGGCATTTAAAAAAAAAATTAGTTACCGATTAGCTTTAAATAAGGGAGGAAAATAAAACATACGACTCCAACTTGCATTCTTTTTAATTATTTTCTATGTAAATTGTCCATGGAGTTATTAGATGCGTCCTTAGAGTAACTTTTCTTGCAGTAACAAAATGGACAGTAACACCAGGGAATTATTATATACATAATTGGAATCATAAAAGCAATAGCTGACTTATGAACATAAAGCACAGCTCCTAGATGATATGTATTTTGTTATAAACGTGCTCAATGCATCAAAGAAATTGTAAATGAATTTATCCTCACAATATCTAAGTAACTCCTAGGACTCAAAAATAAATTACTATTGCAATCAAACTTGCCTTCAACCACATATTGTGCCTATGGTATAAAAGATCTGTGTTAAGTGTCTCATGATATTTTGGCGGGAACAAGATCAAAAGAAGGAGGCTGATAGTGAAGAGTTTCTTTAGGAAAGATAACTGTTACAGATAACTTTTATGTCCTGGTTACTCCAAGGACACGGCAAAAATAACACACACTTACCATTAAAAAATCATATTCTTACTCTTTTTCAATCACATTTTAGCATGCATTTAGACAGTATTAAACATGTACAACACAATAAAGGTCATTTTACACTGCTTAATTATATTTACTACATCAATAATCAGAGTTGAAGTCAAACATCCGGCGAAATCACAAGCAATTCTCTCTAATTTAACTCAGGTTGAAGGACTTTTTTCAGTATTTAAGTCAATTTTTAATCGCACTTAATTTTTTTCTACACTTATAGATTGATGTTAAATTCATCGGGTAAAAAAAATTCGATTTTATTGCAATATTTTCAAAAAAGCTTGTATAACAGGAATTTGGACATTTTTTGAAAATGACCCAGCTGCTTTTTCCAATAAAAAAAAAAAAAGAAATTCGAATTCCCATGCACCTCTGATCTTTTAAAGGTTCGTGTTTGTTCTGCTCCAAAGTATTGTTTAATGGACTTTTGAGCTTGAATACCGTTCGTTATCTTCATATATTTTATATGCTTAAACATGACTGTGAAACTTATGAAACCAATATAGAGTAGACTACATAAGAAAAATTTTAAAAAGTCCCTTTTATCTGTATCGAAAGTCTAGAGCGTCTTGTCCTCTGCGGGGCATACAAGTTACTTTTCTTCTATCTGCACGTACAGATGCCTAAAAAACACTACTCATCTGCTGAATCAAATACTTTTTCAAAATCGTTATCAACATGTACATGTATATGTAACCAATGTAAAACTATTGTATATCCTTTTGTATTAGATGGAGTATAGTCGAGATCCCAACCACGTTAGCTCGAGTTTTTCTGTTTAGTTTTGAAATTTTTTTTTGTTTAAGAATAGGTCTTAGAATGAAAATAAAGAAAGGGAACAGTGATCATCACCAAACGTCCATTTTAACAAAGCAAATTCTAAGCAGAGCAAACACAAGCCTTTGAAAATAGAGGTGGGACTAGGTACCATGGAGAATTAAGCATCCCCATACTTATCGACTTGTTACATCCACCGTGCTCTCTGTCATGAGAATGGAAAGGAAAAATCCGAGATTTCAACGTTAAAATAATGACCAAAGTCATCAATACATGAAAAACAGTTGACCTAATGACAGTATTCACAAACAAAGATACTGTATGGACTTTAGAATTATCGAAATACTGACTTTACTGTTGTTATCCTGCTTTGCATATCGAATTAAAGTGAGACATAAACTCCATTTGCAAAGATATAGGTATCTTGCTGCGTAATTTAGGGAAGTTGACAACAGAAAAAGTCATCATGTTTTTCATGAATTTAAGTTGTCCGAAAGCCATCAGCGTCTTAAAACAGAGTATATACTAGTACAGATGTGTCAGCCTTTGTGGTGTCCTTCATAAAACATCGTCAATAAATCTAAGTATTGAATTCAAGGCCACAACCAAGAACTTTGAAATTTTTGCTTTTTGCCTTAACACTTAACAAAAAGGACACAATAAGTACACAATGGAATTCAAATATAGATGTTTTTTAAATGATTTTTTTAAAAACAAAACAAAACAAAACAAAACAAACAAACAAACCAAAAAAAAAAAGACTGAATAAGATATGTAAATTTACGAGTTCCAGCTTTAATCAGCTGTCGTAATTTCAAAGAGTCTTTGAAATTATGGTGAATGGTCGCATAGACTGTTGAAAAGTTTTCTTTACATTCAATTTTGTAAATTTTGTTCTTTAAATCTTTTCGAAAGTTACTTAGAGTAATTTTTTTCTTCAATGCGGTTGTTTTCTTGAGGAGTAAAGAAAGGAACTTGGTATGACTTTCACTAGAATACGCATCTTTGTGACTGGTCAACGGCTTACTCCTACCAGATCCCATCTGGATTTTTCAGAGTGTTTTATGTACTCTCATTGTATTTGTATTATTTATAGAGCATTTGAGATCTGTGCATTTGTACGAATTTTTATGAAGTTGAAGAAACAAGTATAGATATGGTAAACCATGCAAAAATATATTCTCAGGCTAGTTTTTATATATATAATAGACCCTAATTTACTTTTTATGAGCATCAAGTCAAATAAATCAAGTTTGGTCTAATAAATTCTCTTGATAAAAGAACATATTACTCTTCTTTGTATACCAGTATACATTATCTAATTAAGCCAAAGCAAAACCCCCTCACACTTTTTATCTAAATTAATCATTATGGTTATGAACACGAAAGGTTTATAGACGTTTTAATTAAAAATGAAAATATCCTCATTAACTACTGTACACACTGTATTAACCATTCTCTTCAAGAAAATTCTTCAACAATATATGAGACTTATTTCAGGTCATATACTGTTTACAAATTATCTACATATAGTCTTTAAGGTAGTTCAATACAGTTAACTAATGTCATTCATTTAAGGTATATAGTTCTGTGCCTTTCGCTTCCTACACCTTTCATTAGAGGAGAATGATTTATAATCATACGAACAAATGGCTCATGATTTCATACCCAGAGGGGAAATTATAAACATGTTTTTTTATTACGCACAGTACACACACAAATGTCTTCCTTGGTTTTATCATGTTTTATTGTAATATACTATTATACTAGTAATATGGGTACTTTTTCAAACATAAATCGTATAAATAACTGAGCTTTTATAATTGCAAATTCTTTGTGTATTATCTGGTATTATTTTTTAAAGTAATTTCTTCAGAATAGTCTCATTATGCCCCCCTTCGAAGAAGGGAGGGCATATTGCTTTGCTGCTGTCCGTCGGTCTGTCGGTCGGTCTGTCGGTCCATTTAGTTTCCGTTCATTTTCTTCACAACCGTTGCACATATTGAAATGAAATTTGGCATATAGGTTTATCAGGTAAATATCTAGGTCAAGTTGTGTTTTGGGTCTGATTGCACCATTTTTGACAGAGTTATGCCCCTTGGACTCAGAAAAATTCCACTTATTTGCAGTTTCCGTTCATTTTCTATGCAGACATTGCACATATTGAAATGAAATTTGGTATATATGTTTATCAGGTAAATATCTAGGCCAAGTTCTGTTTTGGGTACGATCGCACCATTTTTGACAGAGTTATGCCCCTTGCACTCAGAAAAATTCCACTTATTTGCAGTTTCCGTTCATTTTCTTTGCAGAGGTTGCACATATTGAAATGAAATTTAGTATACAGATATATCAGATAAATATCTAGGTCAAGTTCTGTTTTGGGTGTGATCACATCCTTTTTTGTTAGAGTTATGCCCCTTGGACTTAGAAAAATTCCACTTAATTGCAGTTTCCATTCATTTTCTTTGCAGAGGTTGCACATATTGAAATGAAATTTAGTATACATATTTTTCAGCTGAATATCTAGGTCAAGAAATGTTTTGGGTAGGATCGCACCATTTTAGACAGAGTTATGCCCTTTTGGACTTAGAAAAATTCCAACTTGGGGGGAGGGGGCATAAGTTTTTTACAAACATCTCTTGTTCGTTTTTATAAATCTTGCCAGAAGACTAAGTAGTAGTTTCAATCGGCTGCCTTTCTTTGTTACTTATATAAAAATAGGTAAATATTTCACATTTATAGGGCTTGAATTTAACCAAACGTTTCTTGAGCTTGGATACTGAGCCTGAATTAAGCAGATTTGTACACGCTATAGATATTTTTAACGATGACTTACCTCTTTTGGGTCTCACAAAATCGTTCAACAGTGCTTACAAAGAACAGTTCAAAGTTGACGTCATGAAAGAATCTGAAGCGAGTGATTTTTTATTGATTCATAAATAGTACAAAATATGATAGAAACATACAATTTACATTGCAGAAAACATTATTAACAAAATCACAAGTAAATTTTGAAATATACAACACTGAAGTATAGTAATTGAACTTTTCTGTAACTTCAAATGTTTTCTTTTAAACAACTATATTAAGATTTATATCTACAGTGTATATAATTGATATACATATAAAAATACAGGCTTAAACAAAAATTGTGGTCTTAAGGAAGAAAAAAAACATAACGAAATAATATCCTTTTACTTTGTATTTGAAGAAGGTGAAAATAACAATCTCAAAAATACATATACAGACAATACAAGAGCGTATAAACATAGACCCACTGAAAATCCATCTGGCAGGGACCAGGTGCCAAGAAGAAGTGCGCATCCCTTGTTAACCAGTCACACCCGCCGTTTACACTTTGTTCTGATCAAGTTGAAGGAGCATTCCGTAGTCAAATTTTTGCATTAAAACAGTATTTAATTTCATGCTATCAAAACTAAATGTGTTTATTAAACATCTCAGAACGATTTCAATTATAATTCACTTTTGATTGTCAAAAAGTGCACATGCAATAAAAATATGCAATGCAGAATGTAACAGAAAAAAATTATATAACAATATAATAATCAGTGTTAAAAATACAACTGACAATAAAATCCCATTAATATTAATACCTATAAATACACAAATGTATTCTTAAAAAAAGTATTTACGTCAATGCAATTCATTAATTGAACATTAATACAGTAGGAAATATTATCGGTTCTATCTGCATACTCTAATTACACATATGCATAAATAAATTAAATATTAATATATGTAATGTTCAGATGAAAGATGTACAGGTCCATGTATAAAAATTCCCTTCCATATATAAAACATCAGCGAAATTGACAAGAAGTACATGTAATAAGATAACAATTGTGCATATATCAGAAATTCACATAAGGAAGCAAAACAATACCAAACATTAAATTTTTGAAAATGATGTCATTATGTTAGTAATATGCTAGAAACAAGATACATTTGTACCAGTAAAATTGAGGATAGTATCCAGCTCAAAGGGCTCCGCATTTAGTAAGGGGAATTATAAAGAAAGGTCTTTTGTTCAAGTTTAGCCAGACGAAGGAAATGGAAAAAAAATTCTCAAAGAGGAATCTATCAGAGATCCGCTTTAACCTTAATGTTGAAGTTTAACCTAGGTAGAATCAAGGAGGATTTAATTATACCCTGGACAAGGAATTTTCACAAAAGGGTTCTGTGACCATGCACATGATCTTTCATCTCTGAATTGCTACGCAGCTTCTATATACGGGTACTCTGTTGGTAAAGTACACTATGAGCCAGGCCAATAAGGCCAGCTATTGGAGGGAAATTATGCGCAAGGTATTATTTTTAAACAGCTAAGTTCTTAAACTCTGAACACAAATCTTAAAATTTGCACAGGGTGACTACAAACTTTTTCCCTAGGGGCACTCTCACGGGTAGAGAAATTCTCCTAATAATGATTTTACACATCTGTGTAACGATTCAAAGTTTTACGTTCTCTGTCTAACGACCCCTATGGATGAAGGTTAAGTCTGATAGGTCAAAGGGAAGAGAAAATAAATGTAGGATAAATATTACTCATGCATACATTTCTCACCTTGACCTTTAATCTATAAAAATGGTTTACATTCACTGCACATTCTCTTTCCGAGAGTTTTAGTATAAGCCCATTTTGACTTAGTGAAGTTTGCCAACCTTGACCGTCGAACAAGTAAATTGCTTCAAAGTCGCTGCACAACCTTAAGCCATAAGCAATCTAAGATTCAAATTTAAGTTTTGACTGGGTCAAGAGTAGAGAAAATATGCTATGGACCGCAAAAATCAGATAGACAGACTGATCACTCTAGGACACCAAGAAAACGGGGCCTAAATTGCATTAGCATACTTTGCAAAACACTTATACACAATTATTTCCTGAATATGAATATCAGCAGAGACAGAAATCGATCTGAAAGCACTGTGACATTTTTTTGATTTCATGAAGGCATACATGTTTCCTCTGTACATTGTTAAACTTGATTTTCTGCGACCCGCTTATTGTCTTGTTGCCCAATCACAAGAGTTGAGGCCGAGTCAGTGCGCTCCTGCATTATGTCTCTGACTTCCACTTCCGATTTGAGACTGTGCTCAGTGTCCGTAATTTTTTGGTAACTTTCAGAAGATCTAGCACTGTCATGACTCTTTCGTTTATGAGATCGAAAAGGCAGCTTTGATCTGACATTTGAAAGGATTGGCTCTGAAAAAAACATTTTCTTGTTGATATTTTTTTGTCTTCCTTAAAATATTTTTTATTGTTCAGTCTTATGCAATAAGATGTGATATAAAGTACACCAGCTAGCTAATCCATTGGATATTTACATCTGTTATATATTCATTAACTGACATAATTATAAAAAAAAAATTCCAACACTAGAGAACATAGCTATGGGTAAAATGTAAGATATTTATGACTATTGAGAACCTACAAACTTGTACTCTCTCATTTTTTTGTAGTTTAAGTTTTAGTTATTGTTAGAAAATATCTACTGTGTGAATATTTGTTTTACAGGTTCAATATAAAGTCAACCTCTTTCATAAGAACAAATCCCAAGATCCAAGGCTTGCTTCAGAGTTAATTAAGGTAACTACATGTGCACACTGTTTGATAGACTTGTTATATTTTTCCCAACAACGTTTTGGATATCCTGGAATCACAATGTCTGTTTTTCTGCCTATCTACTTGAATGTCTAGTGTTTTTTGTCCAAAAATAATATATTTGTGTCAGAATCTCCTTAATTTTTGGCAATCTGTATAAGTATATATACTATTTGAACATTCCAAATTCAATTGTCAAAATGGAAAAAAAGAAATTCTTTTATTGACTTTATTATGAACAGAAGCATATCTTCCAATAGTGTAATTGTCTTGCAAATTACATCATATGATTCCACAAAACACCTAGTATAACATATATAACATTAGTTTTAACTCGTATCACATCTGTCGGTGAATTGGGTATACAATGTACATTTGTTTGCTGAACTTTAATATTACCTGTAGAATTGATTTTGTAATTTTAAGAATTATTTTATTTTTACTATTGAAATTTTTGTAGAGACCATTCTGTGCCACAAAGAAATTGTTTAGGAAGGGGACTGAGGTGGATTGGCATTTGGGTACAGTTCAAAGAGATTTTTCAAAATGGTCAGATCAGAGGGAGGACAACTGAAAATATTGAAAGATACAGAAGGAAAAAGAACAAGGAAATATATGGAATAATTATGAAATGGGGAGGATGTACACAAACTTGTCTGAATTTGACCTGTAAAGATTTTCCATTCTTATTTGTATGCTGGAATATCAGATAACTTGATTTTTCATAAATTTACAATATAGAATACATTACAAATATTATTGCTGATATTTCAATTTTGCTTTGGACACTTTCATGTCAAATCATATTTATAAACAAGTACATGGCTTAATTATGTTATTCATTTGTACATGTATACATGTTTAACTATTTAATCATTTTGCCGAAATTTTATAATTTGTACAACTTAATATGTAAAATACATGTATCGACAAATGCTACTGACTTGTTTGTATACTTTCTTGTTTAGAATGTACACTGTGAAAAATAAGATATTTCTCTTGATGAAAAAAGTTTTATCAAAAAAGTTGTGTAAGCATTATAAGATATTGATTTTCAAATATTTAGCCCATGAAGATAGATCATTGGAATGTAATGAATTTTCATCTAAAGCAGAAATATCTGATTCTTAAATGTGTACAAGAATATGTGTGACTGTTCCATATGATTTACATATGATACCCTTTTCATATGATACACATATGTTGATCATATGTGGAGAAGTTGCCTGTATAATATTATCCATATTTCAATTACCACAAAATTATTTTGAAAGACATGAAAAAAGTATAAAAATGATAATAAGTACAACAGTAATATTATACACGTATAATTCACATATAAAGTATAACATATATAAAACACATGTTTAACACATGTTTCATGTGTATAAATACACCATGTGTTTATTTCCACACATGTTAAACACATGTGAAACATATGTTTAACATGTGTAAAAATAAACACCCTATACACATGTGCTCTTTTTATGTGTGTTACATGTGTAAAAAAATATATGTTAAACACATGTTTAACATATGTTTAACACATGTGGACATTTTTCCTGTGTACATGATGTCTCTTACCTAGCTAGGATTAAATGAAATGGTTCTGGAATTGTAAAAAATCTCTGAGATGTTAGAGCTGCAAACACCCCTGTATACACGTAATTAAACTACTAAGAGTGTGAAAATTCTTTATACCTTTGCTTGAACTTTTGGGAACTTCACTACGGGATCGCCCGCTTTCCTTCTGAGCTTTGTAGTAACAGTACAAGACAATTAGAGCCACCAGGAAAATGGAAGCGAGACAAATACTGACAATAACGCCCTCTACGTAGATCCACTTTTCTCTTGCACTTTTCTTCTCATGGTACGTGTAAGCTTGATTAATAAAAAAATATGGAAAAAAAATCATTAAAGCTGTATTGGCTTAGGAGAAAATAAACGACATCTCTAGATGATATTTATAATGAAAAAGAAGCATGTAGTACACAATGGCATTGTAAAAAGCTTATTGTGGACCAATTTGAGGACAGTTGAAAGTTCTCTTGAAATTAGATTAGGAAAAGAGTGATAAATAGAGGGAATGGAAACCTGTTCTTTGAGAAGGAGAAGAGAGACTACATTTACTCCACGCTATTTGATATCACTGAGAGCTGCTTTTCAATAAAAATGGAACTCGTAAATTTACTTACCTAGTCATTGGTCTTTTGCAAAATTATTTTTTAGAACACATTCTGATTGCACACACATGTACTCTGAAGTTGGCATCAAATAATGCTTGAGTTTCTGATTGACAATATCTATGTAGTTTTGGAGACCTGGCCTTGGGGCCATAAAACTTAGATGAGCTAACTTTTGACCTCAGTCTCACTTTTTCACAATATATTCCTTTGATAAAAGTGAGACTGAGATCAAAAGTGAGCTCGACTAAGTATTATGGCCCCAGGCCAGGTCTTCCAACAATCTATTGGAATTCCGACTAGTACCAATTGCGCTCCGTTATTATCAGACCTACTTTTGTATTCATATGAAGCAGAATTTGTGCAAAATCTTATACGCCTTCAACTCAACATTAAGATACCCCGGTATATTGACGATGTATTGTCAATTAACAATGGTTATTTCCATTCCTATGTCGATACGATATATCCTGGTGAGCTTGAAATAAAAGATACCACAGAGTCTGACACATCTGTTTCATACTTGGATATTTTACTAGAAAAAGACAATGATGGTAATCAAACAACCAAGCTCTGTGCTAAACGTGATGACTTTAACTTTTCTATCGTCAACTTCCCTTACTTATGCAGCACTATACCTTCATCACCTTCAACACCTGCTTTCGGGGTTTATGTCTCTAAGTTGATTCAATGAACAAGAGCGTGCTCTACGTATGAACAATTTCTAAAACGAGGTAAATCATTGGCAAACAAGTTAATGAAATAAGAATATCACCAGTCTCGCTTAAAGTCATCATTTCATAAGTTCTTTGGTCGATACAATGACCATGTCAGCAAATACAATTTATCATTGAGTCAAATGCTGACTGACGTTTTTCATACTTATTGTTAGTCCATTATCTATACACTCAATTGACGAAGGATTTTTCCGTGATGTCCCGATCATGACAAGGAGCAAACAACGGGTGTGACCGGTCAGCGAGGGATGCTCACTCCTCCATGACACCTGATCCCACCACAGATGTTTTGGAAGTCTGTGTTTGCTCTGCTCCTTTTTGATTTGTTTTATGGACTTTCATATTGAATACTGTTCGTTATCTCCATATCCTTCATTTCAACTAACTGGATCGAGGTGGTTTTACATGTAAACAATCATTTATGAAGGGGAAAAGATAAAGGAGAAAAGAAAAATGTGGATATAACGAACATTAATCAAGCTCAAATGTCTTTAAGCTTTACAAAATAGAAGAGGAGCACACACAGACATCCAAATCATCAGAGGTGGGATCAAAGGCCATGGAGGAGCAAACATCTCGTGCCGACCGATAGATACATTTGCAGTGTGCTCCTTGTCATGATAGAGAAATAACGAGGAAAATCCGTGGACAGCTCAGTGTGTATAATCTTGTTCTAACAACCAGTATGAAAAAAGATAAAGGAGCTCATACAGTGTATACTATTGTATTCTAATGTCCTGAAGGAAGCAGACAAGTCTGCAAATATAGCAAAGGACAGTTTCTTTTATGCTCTTATAAACGAGCAGTAAAGGCTCCCTACCAATTTTTATGTACTACAATATATCTTACAAATCTTGGCTTCTCTTTCTTTCGTGTTGTCTGTCTTAATGACGCACTGTGGGGTGACGTCGATCTCAAAGTTGTAGTGATTTTTTGTTGTCCGTGGATACCGATTGCTCTCCGTCACCAGGACGTATAAAACGTCAGCTGAGGGACACCAGACGCCCGGGAAAGGCGAGCGGCAATCATAGCGCTGTAATCAACAGTACACATATTATCTCTAATAACTGGCAGCTTGACGTCTTTCTTTTGTAATGTTTGAATGTATACTAGTATTATTGGCCCAAGGACAAACATTTTGCTCATACTAATGTTTACTGCTGAGACCAATTTTTATCCGGATATTTGAATGGCTTATCTATCAACTGACACAAATAAATTCAAATTTTTTTTGTTCTGTATAGACGACTATAAAGGGTTAGGAAGTAGATAAATTATAGAGGTTGGTAACAGAATTAGGGAATAAAAGGTAGTTGATTGTCCAATGCTGGAAATAAGGAAACTATATTACACCTAACTTGAGCAGAAAATCTTGCGCAGTAAATAGCATTTTGGGATCTGTAGCGTTATGGCAAAAGACTAAAATATAAAACCATAAAGCTATATTTTCTAAAGCTAATTTTCAACCTGACATAAAGTTTTCTTTTACCTCGTTTAAAATTCTATTACAAAATCTATAACTTTATTGATATACATGTAAAACGTATTCTTACCTTGGGATCTTCAACTTTTGATTTGTCAAATACTACAGGTACGAAAAGCATTTTCATATCACAAGTCTGAAGCTGAGACATTGTCATCTTAATACAAATTTTCTCACACTTCAAACTGTCATGATTATCCATACGAAGAGTCACGGCGCATGTGCCACCCTGGAGTCTTCCACTTGCTACTAAGCTGATCTCGTTTTCAGACGAGATGTTGTATATCCCTCCGCAGTTTCTATCCTCTGATGTGTCTAGATGTACTAAAAGCGAGGACACAACATTTATTATTAATGGTGATGAGAGGAAAGAATAAGAAATACAAAAATAATTGAGAATTTAAGTAGATTTGTCTCTGAATTTAAGCTTTCAAAATCTCTCTGCAATCCATTGTCAAGAAAGAAATTGATAATTTTGCATTCTGAAAATGTCCAGTAAATGATAAAGAGAAACTAAGGAAGATAAGGAATTTTAGACAGAGAAAAATTATTTTTATCAATCATGTCGGGAAATATCTTCAAACCATAGGCACTTGTTTCGAAAATATTTTTTTAACCCATTGTATAATAATAATAGTTATACTATGGGTTTAAAATTTATTCCGAAACAAGTGCCTGTGTTTCAAACTTACTTATTGTTTTATTTAGGGTAACAACAGGTACAAACAGAAGAAAGGAAATCTTGACAACATAATCCGCAATGTAGCAAAGGTTTGTCATCTCTGCAATCTGCACAATACGGTCAGAAATCTGGAAAAATAGAAGGTAAATTGTTACCGGTCTTCTGGAACCACCATTGGTCGTGGGAACCGATTTTCATGGATTTTGTGCATCATCTTTACAGATGAATTGACATCCTCAGAACCACGCAATATTGTTATTATAGTACAAGGTTCAGCAAATGATCTGTACGCAAGCGTTTTAAATTCGAAATTTTGTCCTCCCAAAATTATCAGAAAATCTTGAAATTATTTTCACGCGAATGAAGGTTTATTTATTTATCATCGTTACAGTAATGGATTTTTTGTCTTAGAAAACACCCTTCTTCATCATTTGATGAAGATTCTTGAAAAGATTCAAATTTTTCTTTACATTAAAATATTTTTTGCTCCTGGAGTTCGTTTTTCTCTGTGGAGATTTTGTACTATATATAGTTTTCTAAATACATAGATAGGGATCCTATAAAATATTCTTTTCCTGACCTTTAAAAAATAAGATGATGTTTCTGACTTTTTCTAAAAAAAACCAAAATAATCTGAGTTATGTTCTGAAGAAAAGTGCGTTTAAATATTGGTACCAGATAGAAATTGTTTATAAACATCACTTTCCAACCCGATGTATCGTAGAAGAAATTTTGAACAAAGCAAATCCCTCAACTGTTCTTAAAGCTTGCGTTGAATTTAATGTACATTGTTACTGTCTAATAGTATTTTTAAAATTCTGAGAAAATTTTCAAACTTTATTTTATTTTCATGATCATTACTACATAGATATTTAGTATGCGATACAATACCAATTGTAAATATATGTACATGATCAAAAATAAGGAGGAATGCACGATATTCCTGCCTGCATCCATATTCTTGATTTCTCTTCAGAATGAATTCATCTGTATAGATGATTTATTGTTGATAAATAATTCATTCGATAACCGAGTTACTTACTATTTAAGTTCTTCTGCTGCATGCAACATATAGTACATAACATACATATTGCATTTGTAGTGATATACAGTATCCACAATACTGCTATTGATTTGATGTTTTAATGTATTTGTATTGATAATTGTAAGGGTATACACTTTTTCCACAATAGAAGTGTACAATATCATATAAAAAACATGGCAGATATGAGCCAAGGAATTATTGATTCCAATTTTCGTAAGAGTTACCAATTTAGATGCAACTCACATTTGCATCGATTGCAGAGAGTTTTACATTTGTAAAGAGATCATTTTTTCTCAGCACCCGTTTGAATGATACATGACATTGTATAGTGTATGTGGAATATGACAGCTTTCTTAAGTGTTACACATATTCGTGCAATTGAAGTTTATTGTCCTTTAATATGACATATGAACATGAATTAATTCACTTAGCAAATTAATGACATTCAATTCCTTTGTGCCCTATTTCTTAACTGTAATCCAAGAATCAGTTAGTTGGAACTCTATTGCAGTTTATATACCTAACAAATCATTTTACCTAACAAATGCATAGATTCAGTAAGACATGTTACTCGAAAAAAGAACTCAATAGTTCATTATTTTCAGAGAGATTGATAACAATTCTATGCACTATAGAGGTAAATTATCAAATAAAGATAAGCAACTCTTAATTTGCACAAAAGTGGTTTTCACATGGCTATAAAAATACACACACTATAAAAATACATTTTGAACAGCTACGTTTATGAAGTGTATACACTGAATAGTACTCACCTCCTGGATCTCAGTACTTGGCTCTCTCAGTAGGACTCCACACTGACACAGCTACTGAGTCAGACTCCCCGATCTCCAGGCTGCTGCAGGCCACGGATCAATATAACCCAGAGTCTCCGGGGACTTTTATCCCGAGTCCATGATTGGTAATTGTACGATAGTAAATGATACGGACTATGAAACTATAACACCAAAACTCTGAGAAAATACAGTCTACATATGCCTCAATTTCGCGCATTTTTTTCTTTTGTACATTGACTTAAATATTTGTACTGCTGAAATTCAGTCAACGATTTTAAGAAATGAATTTATAAATGGTGTGGCCTACTATTAATCTTTGCATTATTAGTGAGCATGAATTGTTAACATAATTACTTGGTAGAATATCACTTTCTTGCACTAAGCGTAACTTTAAATGAGATTTTGTAAGGGAATAAAACTCAAAATCTGTCCAATAGAATCATTAATTTCTGTTTTTTATAATTTCATAATTTATAAAATTACTAGCGTTTAAATATTCAATCTCTATAAAAGTGTATTTGAAAGCCAATACACAGTATAATCAAACATAATACTTTCTTGGGGGAATAAGCTAATTGACGTTTCAGGGTTTGAATGATTTAATTTTAGTTGTAACACGTCATTTGATTGGGTAAAAGATTTAGTCCATTTTGTATAACATAACATGCCTAGTCACAATGAGTTACGTCTTAAATATATTAATCCGCTTGGCGTTACTTTTAAAATATGCAAAATTTGAAGCCTTTTTCCGGAGTCATAACTTAGGGCAGTTTATGACTTTTAATAAAACTTTAACTGCCCCAAGTTATGCTATTTCTTATAACAAAATTTAAAATAAGATTCATTCCTTAAATGTTTATTACTTCGTGTTCATATTCTGCAGTAAAAATGGAAAAGGTATCCGCATTAAAATAAAAAACAAAAATGGAAAAAGAAGGTATGTATGCAATTTTTGAAGAATGCATTTATATTATAATTTGTGCACGCGCTAATTAGCCTAAATAATTTAGTATTTTTTTTTTGGTTAAAGTGTTTTTAAAATTAAGAGTCTATGATATAAATCCACGCATATTTTTAAAGGGAAAAATATATAGTATATTACCCTAAATTGAACAAAACGTAGGTAAAAATATCAATGAATGTACATTAAATGCTTGCAAACGTGATTCTACAGTACAGTGTGTATTGTAATGTTTTACAAGGAAGAACATTGTTAAATAACATAAATAGAACTGTTTATCTTAGTTGATTTATCGCAAATCTTTTCAAAACAATTTAAAAACCATTCATTAGGACTCTAAACGTAAACGTTTACCATTGTTTTTAAATCAAATGCCCTAATTAAACTGTTTATTTAGCCATAAACACAAAGGAGAGAATTCTAATTTGAGATAATTTCAAAAATGGCTGCGAGGAACATTTTGTGCATGTTTGGGATTATTGTATACATAATAGGTATTTAACAATTAGTAATTTATTTCTTCAAAAGAGACCTGTTATATCTTAAGCTTGCAATATGATTAACCCTTTCTCTTCCGGCGCATTTTACGTGATTTTGGAGGCCTTTTGACATGGCATTATTAAATTATTACTAACTTTTTTATCCAAGGGGAAAGCTAGGCATAATGCATACCATTTTGTAGGAAATTTCTTACAGATGATTTTTTTATGAGTGTTTCGTTACTCAACCACTGACCTTATTAGTAAAAATTGAGGTCAAAGGTCAATTAAGTGCAAAATTTTATGGAATTTTTTGATACTTTTTCATCTTTAAGCTAAATATTAAGTATGATGTATGTTGAAATAGGAAATTTGGGATATACCCACAAAAGTGCATTATACTGTACTACACGAAACACATAAACTTTTTTTTCAATTCTGCATATAACTACTTAAAAGGGGTTGCTAAGCAACGCAGAATTCTTTAATTTTCGGGCAGAAATTTTCATTTTTTACTAATCCTAGACACATTTATGCATCCCAGCACATGTAAAAGTTAGATAAGAGGTCATAAAATTACAAGGGACATACAACAGATAAATTGTCTTAAAGTTTGACCTCATTAGAACTACTTTTAGGAGGTCAAAGGTCAAATAAGTGCAAAGGTTTCATCAATTTTTTTCAACACTTTTCAATATTCTTGCCATAATTTTACACAATGGATGCTGAAATGGAAAATTCTGAATATACTCTCAAGAAGGGATCAAAACAGCAATATCCATGCATCATTTTATTTCAAATATCTGCTTAATGACCCTTAAGTGGTTGCTAAGCAACATCATTTTAAAGTTTTTGGCTATATACATGTTTGTTATTTCACATTCTGGACACATTCTAGACACTTTTTGTATATTTCATGATATTGTTTGTAAGATATGGGCCATAAAGATGAAAGAACATTTTTGTATTAAAAATTGACCTTGACACTCTTGTTCTTTGGGGGGTCAAGGTCATATCAGTACAGAATTCTGCTTTAAACCGTAAGTAAATATCAATTTTGAAATGCTTCAAACATGGATAAATCATCTAATAGTTTACGTAATAAAAATGGCGAATGACAAAATTTGCAAGCAAAGAATTCTGGTCTGCTTCTTACAAAGCCCTAGCAAAACATGTATACTATCTTTTTGTTAAACAAGAAACCCATTCACTTGATGCCATTAAAAATAATCTTTATTTTCATGGATTTAATTTAACAAGAAAAAAAAACTAAATGATTTCATTACAAGATTTTTCTGGTATAACAGAGCTTAAGGGGTACATTAAAGACTTGACATGTTATCTTGGAGGAAATAATAATAATAGATAGCATTGGCAATATTTAACGCCAAACTGTTTAGTCAATAAGTTGAAAATTTGACGCTTATATCCAAATATATAAATTCAGAAATATTGCAAGATGAATCCCAAATCAGACTGAAATCTTCAACAAAATATTGAAGAGCACTTTTACTTTGTGTCCACCATTCTTTTATCAACTGTCATTTCTCTGTAAGACTGGAGGAAATTCTTTGACTTGTCCAAGGCATTACTATTTGCTGTCAAGTACAAGTGATCAGCTTCTATCCTGTAAAAGTATTTTGAAACAGATACATGTCATTGTGTATATAAATTTATATTCATAAATAAAATTAAGAATGCTAAAATTACTACATTTATTTGATTTTCCTTTCAAAATTAAAATTGTATTTATTATGTGATCCAAGTAGTTAAATGATATTGTTAAGTCAATGTATCAGGACTGATAATTCAACAACCTTGTAGTAAACCATCATTGTAAAATTACTGAACTAAAACAAATAGCATATATGGCAATCTGACTAAAGCCAGACCTCTGTTTACGCTATCGCAATATGTTAAAAAAATCTGGCATTAGATTGCTACGAAAGCCAGGAAGGGACACATAAATTTTTCAAAAAAGTAAAAAATGATATCGAATCGTATTAGACAATCCAATCCCATGGATTACTAAACTGTTCCCTCGATTTATAATATGAGATCTCGAATTACACAATCCGATCTTAAGGATTACTAATTCGCCCCCTTGATTCATAATTTGATATCTCCAATTACATACCGGTAATTTGTTTTCACAGATTGATAATTCGACATCTCGATTTGTTACAACGTCAGTCTTATGATTTTGGAAATCTGTGCTCTTAAATTTCATTACATATATGTACAGATACATCCAACCATTTTAATCAATAAGTGCGTTCTATTTATTTTGTTTCAGCAACCAGTAGTTTCCAACCTCTCTCATAACTAATTCAACGTATATTTATTTTAGAAATATTATGATTACACAGGACCCATATTCACTTTTACAACTAGGACTTTCAATTATTCTAATATATAAGTAACACGAAAAGATTTTTAGTTGTACAAATATCAGTACTAGCACATGAATTTGGAAATTTTCAATCATGTAATTTTCTCATTTTGGACTGTAATATGTAATAAAAGTTAGGATGTAAAATACTACAATATTCTATTTTTTAAACATGTATTACCATATCCGATATGTACAGATAACTAATTTAAACGAAATCATGTGAAGGGTTTACATTCCGAAGGAATGAATCATTTAAACTAAGAGAATGAATTATACAATCTGAGATAACGGATTCTGTAATTTGAGGGAACGAATTGATAATCTGCGAGAATGAATTGGCAATTTGTTATAACAGATTGTCAATCCAGAAAACGGATTGTATAAATCAAGAACTCGGTTTACTTTCATAAATTTTAAAAATTCTATGTCCCTTCATGGCTTTCATAGATTTCATACCTGCATGGCTGCCAGGGTTGTAAAAAGAAAGGAGACAATAGACTGCAAATGTTACTTCAGGGCAAAATTCCTGGGGCAAGGCTGTTCGTGAGCATGGGAGTGTTGATAAACCATCCAGTGAGTTTGACCACCCATGTATATGATCTACCATAATTGGAAAGTGTCTGAAAAATTGAGAAAATTGAAATTCTAACCACATACTTTATGCAGATTGGAAATACAGCAGCTGTCTATAAAAACAGCTTGTTCTATATCTCGGCATTCATTCAGATACATATTACATATTTAAATAATGTGTCTGTATGATTAATCAAACATCATAAGTATTATGTGTTTCAAACACTTTTTTTTCAAAATATAAATCAAATGTTTATAAACTTGTATGCATGCATTATCTTAATCATGAGAATGACACAATTGAAATTAATCTTTATTTTTTGAAATTTTAGAAATACAGAAATTTCCAATACCAAAACAAAAATTTACCTGTTTATTGGTGTCCTTACATATTAATTGACCTTCGTACGTAGTTCATGGTGGGCTTAGAAAGTGGGTATTCACAGATGAAAGTATTGTTGTATATGGTGAAAGCACCCTAAAAATTCAATGTGAAAGTGATACATGTACACACTGGTACATACATACTGAAAACAACTATCCATTGGCTGAACGATACGAAATACGCACACTGAAACATAAAGATCTAACTAGTACATGTGTACGTTTAGTTTTCTTTTGAACGTGAACTAATGCGTTTTAAACTTAAAACTTTTCAGTCAATATAAACGTATTCTTACCTGCTAATACCAAAGGCATGTCCGTATTATTTGATTCATTGATGTGAGCATCTTCGTCGTGAAATAATCATGAAAATTGACGTTCAGAATTTCGGATCATGTTTTTGTTTACAGCTACCATAGCGGAAACACGTGGTTATTTCATCGTATCAACTCATACAGTGATGAGTCGTATTTATTTATAAATGCGAGTTTTTGTATTGTTAAATATAGATCTAATTAAATTGCAAATTAATAGGTATACAGTATAAAAAGATACAACAATATTAAAAATCTGATTGATTTTTTTTTAGTAAAGATCGACGTTTTGGAAATCTACAATTTTTATCATATATTGTATATCACTTCAAGAAATATGTGTACATGTACATCATTACATGTAGATGAATAAATCAACATTCACTTCACAAAAGGCAGGACGAAAGTATATATTTGTTTTTTGAAATCTATTTTTTTTTTTGTATTATGCATTTATTTTAGTAAAAAATATATTTAAATGGTCAAAAAAGTCTTATAAAAGAATTTGTTGTTTCGAGTAAGACGCAACAATATCGACCTTGACGTTACATGTAAATATTGACCGATTTTTCCATAAAAACTATACGAAGGTCACAAATTCAAATTATCGTAATTAAGAAAATATTGAGCGTAAGAAGGCCTATAAGGGCTTGTTGGAAAGGAAATTTTCTCTAGTTTTCCCAGCTTTATTTTGTTTTCCCTATTTCAACACAGAAATAAACGTAAAACTGAGCTTTGTTTAAATATTACGAATAAAATCGATAAAAAACACACAAGTGCAAGAAAAGTCTTGTTTTTAAAATATACCTTAACGTAATAACAATAATTTTAACATATTTTAAAAGTAGAGAAAATATGCTTTAAGAATATACCATGCTTTCTTATAAAGTTAATCAGGAAAAAAATTGTCAATCGTCTGGAAAATCGGCAATCGCTTTGGAAAATTACGCAATTTTCAAACAGTCTCGTTTGTCTTTACAACGTAAAATCGATTAAATACCGGCAATCAAGATATAATCTTTTTAGATATTTAAAAAGTAGAGAAAATTTCCAAAAAGATGATATATAGCTTATATACCTTCATGCTACCATAAATTATATACGGAGATCTTATTTTCGCGAAGTCCTGTTTTAACGCGCCACCGGTCAATTTGACCGGTACGGAAGTGAAGGGGTTAAATCATAATAATAATATGGTGCTTGGAGCTATATTTGTACTTGTACACATTAATGTGAACTAGAATTTGAATCTTCATTAAGTTTCATAAAAAATATCTTTTTAATGGAAAATATATTTTTCCATTTCTATGTTTGTAGGTAATGCCGATGCAGCGTGTACTTACACATTTTCTGGTAGCGGAACACAAATCTATACCTGTCATGAGTACTACAGCTTGTAAGATTTTTACAACTCATTCGTTATACTATACCCCCTTTAAAATCCTCCCATTTCTATATCTGATTCCCCGGGAGAAACAATAAGGAATCAAACATTATTAATACCAGGAAAGCATGGTTTTGCAATATCTATATCGAAAACTAAAGATGATACAGTACCTAACTGCATAGAAACATTACATCTCCTATATTGAAAATGCAAATTAATTGGTCTTATAAATACCCTACGTTTTATTTTAAAAATATCAAAATAGTCTTTTTCATTAATTACATCTCAAGGTCAGCGGGTGCAATAGCGGGGGCGGTGATTGGTTCTCTTACATGCCTCGCCCTCATCATTTACTGTATTGCATTCTGTTGTTGGAGAATCAGGAAGAGTTCCGAAGGTTCAAAGACACCCGGAACAATCCAGAATCCATCCAATGTTAGCGTGGTATCTGGTGGAACAGGTATATATATGTAGGACTTCAAAGTGCGATGGATCTCCAAAGTCCGAAGGTCACGCCAAAGTCCGAAGGTTTGCGCCAATCCTCGACGGTCTGACATGCCTGATAGGTGCAGAAAACATTTAACGTTTATGACGTCCTAGTACTACTGTACCAACCAGGCCAAGGTCTTAAAATTTATAATGAAAATAAATATCATTATGCGAAAACTAACCCTAAAATTTCTCAGATAGGTGCGAAACTAACCTTCATTGTTCAAAACGTGTGTAGCAACTAAACCAAGATATCTTTGGTGGATGCGAGACTAACCCTAATTTCTTGACTAGTGTGCGAGGACTATCTCTATGTCTCTCGGGTTGGTGCAAAGCAAGAACTAAACCATATCAGTCGAGTGGCCAGCGAGAACTAATCCTTATATATATCTGGGAGGTGCAAGCAATATCATTTAAATTGAATGGGAGGACGAATTCAGAAATGATGGCTTTTGAATACAGGACAACGGCATCCGAGATTGACGTCGGAATATTGTGGCGTCATAAACGTTAATTGTTTCTCCTCACCATCGGACTTTGGCGTGTCAGATCATCGCACTTGAATAGCGCAGCTCGTCTCATAGGAAACGAGCTATCGGACTTTGGCGTTCGTACGGGCAACAAACCATCGGGGTTTGGCAAAGACCATCAGAGTTTGACGAGACAATCGGACTTCTGAGTCTAACATATATAATAATATGAAACCGAGAAAAATAAATGTAAAGCTCAACATTTAAGCTCTATTTGTTCCTATTTTACTATGAATGCAATGCCCGTGTCCAAGTAGATGAGCGATAAGAATACCAGTATTAGATGAGCATGAAAGCGATAATAGTATTGAATAATTAAACAAAAGATTAATTTTAACATCCTGCAAGAACAAAGTACATAACACACCTTTTTTTTACCATTACAGGCGAATTTTCAAATCAAGTGATGCAGAATCCAAATCAACAAAATTACCAAATGGCATCTCATGGTGGCTCCCATACATTGCGCATGCACACCGGATATGATCAGTGATAAATACTATAATTTGCTTGCTGCAATTTTTAACTTCGTGTTTTAATACCTATTGTTTTTTTTTTAAAAAGATGGATTTAAATTATCTTTTGTATTTTTGCCCTATTCGTATATGCATTTAAAGTTCTTAAATTTATAAATGATATACGTAATTAATAATCGCTGAAAAAAAAAATGGATTATTTATTTTTTTTTTGCAATTTTTTTTTTGGACAAGAGGTCGGTTCACTTTATGCATAAAATGGTCCTGTAGATATACCGCTTGATTGATCAACACTTGATTTGCCATTTGAAGCATTAAAATAAAATGGAAACTTTCATATTCAATAAAAAATTTCTCCTACAAATCCAGACCTTGGAGAACTGGCTTTATGAAATTACAATGTTCTTAAATTTTTAGGTAAACAGGTATAATTGAGTACTTTCAGTGAAGAAAAATAATATGACCGCACTCTCTGATCTAAAAAATAAAATATGTCTTTTAAGGTCAAGATCTAGTAAATAACTTGAGACTAATTTTTTGGTGCTAGATCCATTATGACGTCATAATCAATTTCAACTTTCTTTTTCCCGTACTTTACGGCTTTAGCAGAATTATGTAGAAAATAGGATATTTTCATGTCATTCAATTTGAAATCATATGGAAAGTAAACCGGATACCTATATTAAATTTGATATTGATTTAAAGAAGAGGCCATGAACATACTAATTACTGTTTTCTGTGAGACTGTAGGCAATCTGGATACATTTCCTTTGCCGAATACGAAAAAAACTCCCATATTCATGACTGGTTTTCTTAATTTTTCATTGAAAATGACAGTTTAAAGTACAGTTTTTCATCTTTTTTACCTACAAATCATGCCCCGAAACACCTTATTTGACCAAGCTAAAGTTGTAAAGCTTTAATAAAGGAATTTATTTCTCAAGTTTGATAAATCTGTAGGCACCTTTCATTTACTAGATCTTGACCTTAATCATCAGAAACAGTTCTATCATTTACTAGTTGCATATTTTAGATCAGAGGTTGCGGTCTGTAATAAATATCGAAAAATAGCTTTAAAAATTTGCTGTCTTGGTAGACTTTTTCAGATTATGAGGAAATGGACGCATTTTGTGTCGTCATAATACATTGACTAGTCAGAAAATTACGTCATTTTTGATAGATACAGAATCACCAACGATCTAAGTGATATTCAATGCACTGTTAACTAAAACTATACAGTTGCAGTTTTTCAGAAATTCACAGGACAAAGTTCGGCAAAAGTGAACCTTGTTCTTTGCACATTTCCATTTTAGAGTACTTGCTACGCTTAAATGGAATTGTATTAATTTTTTTACATTAAAGTAAAAGGTAATCATACAGTTGACTTTTTACTCGTTTCCTTTTTGCTTGTGTTGACGTGGTTGCAAGCAGTATTGCAGTCCTCTCCACATTTTCGATGAAATGGTTACGTCTTACGATATTCGTAATGGGACATACTTAGTATATGTGAAAGTTTTTTGTTCCTGCATAAATGTCAAATTACATGTATCAATAAGTGGATATTTTGTTGATCTCAAAAATCTAGTTATTTAAGACATCCAAATATAAAGCACAATCGATACATATATTTTTTTGTGTATGTAATTATCGCAACTTCAATTTATCCACCACGGTTACTGACTTCGATCAGTGTATATTTGGATATAAAAAAAAAAGAAAAGAAAAGAAAAATCAAGATAGCTTCTACTCAGTATTACCTGATGATTAATTAAATTAATACCGGACACATCTACATCTTTGCATTTGTTTAACTAGACAACTTATCTGTGCAATTAAAACAAAATTATTTTAAACATCGATAAAAATATTAAGCAATTTTAACTGTAGATGACAAATATGCTTTATTTGTATCAAAACACAAACGTACTGCTAGAGCAGTAGCGGAAAATGAGCGCTTATGTGATTTTCGTTCCCCAAATAAATATACATTTTCCCAATGCCCATATCTTAATGTACAATAAGATCCCAAACTACACTATCTGCATAGATATATCATATTATGCGTTCTTACTATTGGTGTTTGAAATATTTTGAGATTTAAAAAATGGAAAGAAATATTTGGATGGTTTTAAAAATATCAATTTGATTTACACCACTCTTGTTAAATATGCTGAGACACAAGCAGCACGTCTAAAGTTAAGCTTTTACAACAGTTTATATTTTGAAGAGAAGTAAAAAAAAGATAACTTGGTAGAACATTTAATAGACAGTACAACATATCTTTGCTGGAGTTTTTGAAAATAAATTTGGAATCCAGTAAATGTTCGGTAAATCAAATTTATTTCCTCTGACCGGAATGTTAAACCTTTTAAAAATAACTAAAAGCGATTCCAAATAATATCATGTTATGAAAGTGAAACGTGAGTAAATTACGTGGATTACAAGATATTGAATTAAATTGTAAGTTCATTATTTAAACACTGAATTGACGAGACGAAGGTTTTTTTCCCGTTATTTCTCGATCATGACAAGGAGCACACGGCTGGTGTGACCGGTCAACAGGGGATGCTCACTTCTCCATGGCACCTGATCCCACCTCTGATGTTACGGAGGTCCGTGTTTGCTCTGCTCCTATTTTGTATTGTTTGATTGACTTTGATATTGGATACTGTTCGTTATCTCTATATCCTTCTTCTTGAAGTTGTTGTGACCATTACAAAAAGTTTGTATTTTTCTATTTTTTTTTATAGATGAACCCATAACATATTTCTGGGTTGCGTTTTTACTCTTTCGTCACTTTCGCCCACTGTGGGACGTGGAGACGGTTTCTACGAATGAGACTATGTAAACCAAGGTCCCGTGTAGCATTAGGTGCTGGTACGAAAAAGACCCCTCCCTGCTCAATGGCCCTAAGTGTCGAGTAAAGGACAAATTTTGCAGCTCTCATTCGGCAAGCGTTGAAAATTCTCGAGTAGGACGTTAAAAATCAATCGTCATTTTCGCATATCTGAAAACGTAAAGATAGATTGTTAACGTTTACATTTTGCTTTGAATTGACTAAAGCGATACTTTAAAATATATCTAAAATATGTAGTCCATTCTGGTCTTCCACTTCATATTCAACTCCTCGGCAGAATTTACATGAGAAATAAGTTTCAATTTGCTTTCTGGATCTGTGAGATTGTACACTTTTCGTTATCTTTTCCCAAGCTTTATTTAAATTCATTATCGATTTAAATGGTGAAACGCACATTCACACAATGTTATCACCAACCACTGTCTTATTAATCTTTATAAATGTAAATCGTTCAAATAAAAAAAACTTTTTAAAATGAATCGTTTCGAACTAAGGTTCTTTTAATCAAAATACTTACGTAATATTAACAAGCTTTCTCTTCTTCCGTGTAGATTATGCGAAAAGTTGCCACAATATATAAAAGTTAGCGCAAGACAGTTATTTATTCGATAAGTGCATTTAAGGCGAAATTTTTTTGTACGCATCACTTAGTGCAAAACGCAATGGAATTTACATCGATACTAAGTATTTTGATTTTTACTACAGTATACAGTGAGTATATGTTGAGTTACTGACAGTCAGTTTGTCTTTAAAAGTAAACACTGATTATTTCTCAAAAGTACCTTTGTATTTTTCAATTTCCCTCCGTTGAAAGAAAAAAACTCACACATTTAAAAAAAAAATAGTTAAAAAGATTCAGAAGCTTTAGTTATGAAAATGACAATGTTGATGTAAAGTTATCTTAAAAACCTGAAGCCAGGTAATAGGAGCATACATACATTGTTAGACTTAGATATTTCAAAATTACTGTAACTTTAACCAAAAACGGAAAAAACATAACTACGAATTTGTTAAATTTTAACAAAGTTAACATATTATTTTAAAAATATATCCACGTACCTGTATCCGATTTTTCAATTTCACTGCAATGAAATATAAGGAGATAACGAAAGACATTATTTAAGCTCAAAAGTCCATTTGAATAATACAAATCAGAAGCAAAGCGAACAAGGAGCTCTAAAACATCAGAGTTGGAATCAGGGGACTTAAAGGAGTGAGTATCCACTGCCTACCATTCACGCCCACCTTGAGCTCGTTGTCAAGATCGGGAACGAACGGATAAATCTACCGACAATTCAGTGTGTAAATAATGGGCCAACAATAAGTATGAAATATGAACATCCGTCAGCATTTGACTTAATGATAGATTGCATTGACTGACATTGTCATTGTTTCAACCAAAGGACACGGATGGACGTCCGCGAATTAAGAAGTTGATCCTCATATCGCAGTTTCGAATCCCAGTGGGACATGGGGACTAGTCCTTGGGACGAGACTGATAGACCTAGGCCCCTTATTGCAGTAGGTGCTTACAGAATCAGATCCCTCACTGCGTAATGGCTCTGAGTGCCTAGAATAGATCACAATTTGCAACACTCCACCGGCAAGTGGTAGCGTCTCCAGATGACTGAACAATGCTCGAGAGGGACGTTCAACATCAAACAATCAACCATATATAGGACGAGACTGTTTATATTCCTGTTTCATGAACGTGTTTGTCAATAACTTAAATTATTTTAGAAATTGCTCACGGAGAGCATGATATGGGATGAGAAATAAAAACTATATTTGTAGATGATAAGGATATATTGCATCTTCCTCACATATACATGTACAAGATTTGGAATAAATTTTGCTTTATATTAATACAAAAATAAGACTTCTATTAAACTAAAAGAATCAATTTTGCAAAGCATTTTCAAGTTATAAACGACAATCCTTACAAGAGTAGCTAATACATTTTATCATAACATATACTTTGGACATGAAATGAGATATAATGCAATGTACCCATTGTCTTTCAGAAAACGTTGGATGTTCATGTTATTACTACTTTGATGGATATAATAACATTCGTGACTGCAGCTACAAAAGGTAATGGAATTGCTATAACATATCAGCTCTCGGTCAAATTAAAAGGCTGCTTATATATTCTTTTTAAGTATGAAGGCTTGTTTGATTTTAGGATTGCATTGAATAATCGTTTACGAGGGCTGTTATAAATAATAAATAATGACATAGAAATCATACGACATCAAGCTTGACTTTCTCTCATTATTGAATCTTTAATGAATTGCTAACAGTTTATGTGACCACTTTTCAACACATATTTTCATTGTGGGAAGCTGGAAAATAAGAGCTATTCGAGGTATTGCATAAAAATGAATGGTAAAGAATCAGTTAACTAGAGTGAAATTAAATGCTTCGTTAAAGCTGTTGTAAAACTTGTTAAGAATCCCAAAGAAATATTAACCGAAATATGTGAAATTTATAGCAATCTGTTTTACAGACACATGAGCAGGTGGATTTCAATGAACAAAAATGATATAAAGGGCATCAAACTGGGTACCGTCCTTGGCGACAAGGATATGCAACAATCACTTTATATACAAGTATGCGAAAATTCAATAAGTTATCACTGATTATATCAGAGTGGCTTTAAGACACGTAGCGAATTTGATAGACATCATTTTTTGGGGGTAGATCACACTGTTTTAAAAAATATTTTATAGTAAAAAAGTTAAATACTCAGAGATCCCCCTATATCTTAAAAAGTGAGTGAAAACGACAGTGTGAAGGAATATCTAAACAATTATTTTTAAAAATCAAAAAATGATGTATCATACTTATCCACGTTTGAAATTACAGAATGAAACTTGAATCCATTTTGCTTAAAACCTTCAAAACAAATTTACAATAAGATGTATTTGACAAAACAGCAAATTCATGAGAAAAGCAAAGAATTCTAAGAGCACAAAAATAGTTTTATATGCTAATTTCCTAAATATAAGTGGTCTTGGTGTTCACGTTTAATTTATGGAGTCTAGAAAGCAAAATTGTTGCCAAAAATCGAAAGGTTTGTGAGAGGAAGGGACCAAAATGAGGAATATATTACATTTAATTTTTTCATGACAGCGTCCAAACCCACATGCCTTCAAGAGTTTTTGGGATAAAACAGAAAGTTAATGTTCTGCCATACCAGAAATATTCGCCAGAACTTTTAACCTTTGATTTGCTTCATTTCTCAAACTAAGAATTAAAACACCTTTGAGAAAAAAGTCCAGAAAATCATAGGATTTGCTTTGTTCCAGTATACGAATGGTTATACTCAAAAATATGTTCTAAACACGAATAGAAATTTGAATAAAAATGCTACGGATATGAGGTTTATTAAAAGAGAATATTTAAGTGAAATCATTAAGACTAAATCATAGAAAAGCATTTTTTGTTTCTTACCGAGCACCGGTGACATTATTTATTAAACAGCCTTCGTTACTGAAAATCAGGACACATATAATTCTATACGCACATTCAGCTCGGAAGACTGGTAGGTCAAGAATAGGAGATGAATATTTTCCCTTCGTCATATTTGGAAAAATAATCGAATACCATTAAATTTGAAGTCACTAGATTATAATGAATTAATCAAACAATTTCACTTTTTGTTTCTTTTTCACTATTTGTTTGAGAATAGAATTACAAGAATGACAATCTACAATTAATGGTAAAAATAAAATGCAAAATGAGAAATGAGAAAAAGAAATATGACACTCGAACTATTTTTTTTATATTTAGAGAAATCTATACGAAGCTTAGTATCTGTTATGGATCAATGTTTGGGGTCGGTGTAATTGTCGGCGTTATTGTATGGTGTTGCTGCGCCATGAAGAAAAATCAAGATCAATCTAACAGAACAATTAATGCTGTAGTAGTCCCAAGAACAGGTAGAATAAGTGTATAACGGCTATTATTTGTTAAAAAAGATAGAAATGCATTTGAAGTTTTCCTATCTAAAACAACTTTTGAATTTTTAATTTAGGTGGTCATTTTCTTAAATGGCTCTTCATGAACAAATAGATCTTGCAATTCTTTATGAATACATTGAAAGTTTAAACATATATAATGAGAATGGATTCGATATTAATGATAATGTCCAATTTGTATATTATGATCTTTATCAAGGTAAATCCGATAGGACATTGATTGCTAATATGTGAATAAAGGCTTTATAGGGATCTAGATCTTTTGTCTATGAGAAAAAAAAACTTCTTCACGTAAAACGTTTTTCCCTATAAGAATAATACGTATTAATATTTTCTTCTTTGTCCAATTTTCTATTTTAACAAAAAAAAAAAAAAAAAAAAAAAACAAAAAAAACAAAAAAAAAAAACCATCCTACACCTAATTTTCACCCAATCACAAGTCAAAGCACAAAAAATTCTCTTGCAGGTAATCATGCCACTCAGAATCCCTATATCATGATGGGACCGACACAATATGGAAGTCGACAGGAACAAGTGACGAGATCTGGGCGGATCCCATCCAATAATTCTGGTGCTCTAGGATATCCAGCGGGAACATTCCAGCCATAGGAAAGAGTAAACTTAAGGAGAATGATTGTAGTTGACCTGACGAAAGTAGCTATAATGTAAATTGGAAAGATGGTTTCTAAAACATACTTCATACATTACTAGTTTTATTGTGACTGACGCTATATGATAAAAATACTTGTGTGCATTCAACATCATTTTATCCATTTGACATTATACTTACATCGACATCATACATACATGTAGTCGGGGTGACAATTTGTTAAACTTTTAAATCTATTTGGATTGAACACTCTTAATAAAAGTCCACAGTAAAAAAAAATAATAAACAGGATTTTTTTGCAATAAAAATGAAATTGTTTTTTTCTCTAAAAATGGCTAGTTTTGTCGAGCGAAAGAGATATAAAAGGATAAAATTCTTAACATCTATTTTTACACCATAAAATACTACTACGTACTCTTACGATTTATTAATGAAAAGATGAATGTACTATAAACCAGCTATTACTAGTATTGCATGCAAGAAATATCCGCGATTTCCGCGACCCACGTAGACGCCATAACAACCCCCTCTTCACGATCTGTGAAATAAATTCATGGAAACATTTTATCTGTGGAATATGGAGTACAACTTTATTCAAGTAATGATATTACCTAAGGTTTAATATAAACGAGATTTCCAACTCCGTCTATCCTATATCTGAATAAACAGGGTATGTATAATTTTTTTAACATCCGGTGATGTTAATACATTCGAGGTTGTCTTTCCGACCTTTGGTTGATTTACCCGTGACGTCCAATTCGATAATATTTCACTCATATAGAGACGCCACCATATACATGTTCCAGTGAAGGTCTTCAAATTTTGACCTTTACTCGGCACTCTGGGCCATTGAGCAATGAGGGGTCTTTATTTTGCCAACATCTGCCGTGACACGCGTATGGGGCCTCGGTTTTTAAGGTCTCGTTCGAAGGACTCGCACCTTTCACTTCAAAGTGCTGAGTATATTGCAAAGGATCAGTTGCCATGCAGTTTTTATCGAATTAGGTCAGTTGCTGCCGAGATTCGAATTCAAGACCTTCCCATCACGAAGCGAGCACTCTGCTGACTGAGCTACCGCAAACGGTCAAACTGACGAAAAGATGACGCTACGAATTGTTGGTTTACAAAAAATTCCGTCTTAAGGTATCTGGAACCGTGCTATATTAAAGTGACTCCAAAGTTTCTGATACCAAAACTGCGAAAATAGCTGCTGTGGCAACTGATTCTAAATTGAGCAAATTATTAAATCAATTATTACTTTTCCAGCTATCATCTTCTAAGATTAGTTAGAAAAAATATGTAAAAACAATATAGATTAAGAGCGGATCAAGCTGGTATACATACAAAAATGGGATCAGAAGCCATAGAAGTCAATCTAGCCATAGAAGAGTAAGGAGACCATATAAAACGGTCGCAAAAACAACCTTCTAATGATCGGCAGACGGATCCATGGCCAATACAGTAGAGAAACACTGACCTAAAATGAATTTACGATAAAAAAATCCCAGTCAACATGATTTTGCTTGCTATTTTACTGTATCGACCACAGAAATTGCAAAATCTTACTTAACATAGCAACTTTAAACAAGGCTGTTGATATCCCGTATCTTCAAATTATTTGACAAACTACGGTTTGTTCCAACTGTTTGAATTATGCATTAGATTTTTCGGTGGATGTTTTATCCCCCGAATTACTTAATCTCACTTCTAGAGATTGATTCCTTCTCTAGAGTTGAAGGGGTTGATGCTTAAATATTTTTTAAAGAATCATCAGTGTTTGTTTCTTTCCATTATCGTTAGAGAGAGAGAGAGAGAGAGAGAGAGATTTACTTTCTAGAAAAAATAATAATCAATATGTTCACATACAATTATTCATTGATCTTTTCGTGCTTTTTTTTTGTCATTTAACAATGCTTTTTATTTTAAATCATGAAAAGACTTTGGACTAATGACCTAAATTTTGAAATATTGGTCAAAATCTGCGATTTCATGAAAATGTTATTTTGAAGGTCTTTGATATAAACAAAGTTTGAAACAAAATTTTAAGTAAGTTCTAAAAATTAAAAATATAAATTACCCACTTTTTACAGTCCTATCATGAAATAAATGAATAACAACCCTCGAGTAAATAGACGCATGGAGGGCTTGAATCCTCTATAACTTTTTTTGTCTCATTACGATTTTGCGATTTACTTTCTTCTTCTACTATAAAATTTGCAATATTTAACATAAATATGCTATCAAAATTAATTTGTAATAAACATACATGTACTGTTGAAGTTAGTTTTGAAAAAACATGCCCAAATGCTGACGAGTGACAAACCTTAACATGCTTAAACTAAATCGGAAAATTCCATAATTACCTTGCATCTTTACTCAATTAACCCCGTGGGAATCCGGGTTAGAATAGGTCCTCAGTACCCCCTTGCTTGTCGTAAAAGGCGACTAAATGGGGCGGTCCTTCGGATGAGACCGTATAGACCGAGGCCCCGTGTCACAGCAGGTGTGGTACGATAAAGATCCCTCCCTGCTCAAAGACCGTAAGTGCCGAGCATAGGCCTAAATTTGCAGCCCTTCACCGGCAATGGTGACGTCTCCATATCAGTAAAATATTCTGGAGAGGGACGTTAAACAGTATACAATCAATCAATCAATCTTTACTCAATTATAATGTTTCCTTTTGGGTGAAAACAAAGACATTGTTGAATCCTACAAAAATGTTGTGAAAAACGAAAGCCAGACAGCAACATCAACAGCTGATTAATTGTATGTGTGCCGCAGTTTTTCGAATTTCCTTGTACAGCTGTTGCAACTGTTTATTTGCTGATTTGTATTTTGTCATAATATAATTTAATTTTATTTGTATTCTCGCCTCTCATTGGTTGATTACCAAAAAGGAACGCATAACATTTTGTATAATCTGGTTTGGTATGGGGACACACCCCCTTGACCACCAGCTTAATCATCATATCCATGCAATCCCCTCATTTCCAGTCCTCGGAATCCATGGAAAATTCCAGATTTAATAAATGTACCTTCAACTTTAATCAATTACTCGTTCTTACCTCATGTAAACAAACATCATGGCTGCTAGATCTATGAATCAGTCATTACCTCCCCTCGCTTCAAATCACTTCCGTTACTACGGTTGTATTATTGCGCGGTAAATTTGAACTTATAAAAAGCAACACAATTTTACATCAAAAGTTGTTTAATTATTTTAAAATTAAATTATAAGGAATGACTTTAATTCTTGGCCATATTATCGAGTATAATCTGGTTTGGGTCAGTTTACGCTTTTTTATAATCCGCTTCGCGGATTATAAAGCGTAAACTGACCCAAACCAGATTATACTCGATAATATGGCCAAGAATTAAAGTCATTCCTTAAATAAAATGTTGTTTGAGGTTCCTCATATTTAAATACCAAACAAGCGCAATGATTTGTTATTGAATAGACAAAAAAGTATCCAGACTTTTAAGAACAAATTTTGTGTTAATAAGAAATCGTTTTAACGATTTCTTCAAACGATTTCTTTTAAACACAAAGTTTGTTAAAAAATCCTTTAAAGTGATGTATCACGGAGAAGTTTTATGTTCAGTGTACATTGTAGATGATATAGACAGTGCCATATTCAGAAAGCGTCGATATCGTAGCACAAGATTTTTAAAGCTCCAACTGTCAAACTTGAGGTAACGTCACAATAGAAAAAGAGCATGGTGGAAAATAGCAATATGAATCTAAGTATTTTACTTTTATTCATAGTGTTTGGTAAGTATATGATGTATTTTATACTTTTATTTACTTTAAGTATATATTTCTGTTACAGTAGTACGTTATTTATTTAATATACATTCAATCAACGATGATCCCCATCGTTTTCTTGGTAAAAATGTATAAGATTATGAAGCAGACGCTTGCATTCAAGGGTTAAAATAAATTAATCGTTGTTAGTCAAATTACTTGAATCACTTATTCTATCATAACTGTAAAAACCAAATTTATATTGATTTTTACGTAGAAGGTTACTGAAATAATTAATGGTGGATCTGAATTGAAACACAATTTAAAGTGTTTAAAAGGTAAAAGTGAAAGTTCGGATTTCCAGGAAAAGAAACGGTTTCAGAAAATGTTCTTCTTTTTCGTGTTTTGCATTCTAAATTCTTTCCATATTCCTAATATTTTCTTATCATACACATTTCAATCCTTTATTTTAAACAAAATAAAGGAACAATTGAAAATAAATAAATAAAAAGATTAATTTCATCAAAATCAAATTTCTTAGATCCGCGCCGTATACGGTACACTCTAAATGTATATACATGAAGAATGCTAACTAAACATACATGAACAAACTGCAGAAAAAAGTGAATACGCTATAACAAATAGTGATTTATAAAAAAAAAAAATACAATCAATGCACATCTGTAAACCGACATTAAACATGGACCACTGGACAGGAGAAGTAAGCATCCCTGCTTTACAGTCACACCAGTCGTGAACCAAGAGCCTTTGTCGTGAACCCTATCTGCTTATCACACAGACGGAACGGAAGGTTCCTTAGTTTTAGTATAAAAACAAAGTCCTTACAATTAATTTCTATGGGACAGGTTAGCATATTGAACCCAAGGATAAAATAAATCGATTAAAATGGCCATATATAATTTCAAGCAATGCTGACATTATTGGGGTTTAAATTCCTTAAATATCAACATAAAGTGTAAATGACAAACCCTACATAAAAATGATCTTATTTAGAACATGAAGTCAACTAGAATTTGCATATTATAGCGTAATTAAACATATATATCTTTTCGAGAGAAAAAAAGAACTAATTAATACATTTTATGGATCACAATCATAAATGGACTTAAATAAAAACCATTATTATACTTCTGTTAAAATGTTTCCTATATAAAGTTCAGAAGGTAAAATAGCTATCTTTTATAGTTCACGCATAGCAAAGCTATACCCCGGGGTATAGTTTTTGCTATCCACCCTCGGGAAATTTTCATGCAATTTTTGCCTCCAATTTTGATTTCCAACGATAGATCTATCTACTGATGATGTCATAATGACTTCAGTAGCATTGTGACGTCATCAGGATTTCAGATTATTCTTGCAGTATTATCTTACTCCGAAAAAATTCAAACCTCAGAAATTATATTATACATCAGTATAATAAAACGCTTATCCACTGTTTGTGAGTGGGATAACTCTTTTATCAAACCCTTGACAGAAAATATTCCCCTCGGGCAAGCCCTCGGGGAATAGTTCTCTGTCGCGGGTTTGATAAAAGAGCTATCCCACTCACATCCAGTGGATAAGTGTATACTATTCAGAGACATCATACAGATCTTATAACGGGAGAAAAGACTTTTTATTACATTTACTAAAAAAAGTGTGACTAGTTCTAGAATTTTATTTTGAAAAAAGACAAGCTACTGACGAATCAGTTTGAGATATAATAATTTCAACTATTTCTTTTATTGTAGGTACGTAATCAAATTTTTCTAGGCTAGTGTAATGTTCTCTTTAATGATCTGAAATCAGACTTTGTAAATTAAAAAGCCCATAATACAAACGCTGTAAAAGTACATGTATATGCAGTACATTACAGATCAAGATTTACGTGATTTATTCCAAATTTATTTTATTAACCCTTTTATATTTCATGAAAAAGGAGACCTTTTTTTAAACGTTATCTTTCAACATACATGTAATATTATACAATGATTGCTGTTTATTGAGGTCAATACAATGACATAGCCATCTAATTAGTACAAATTGTATTGACAAAAAACCCAGCAATAATTGTTTTATTATATGAATCGCTGATAAAATTATACAGCTCATTTCTTGTTTGCATTTAACTAAGTCCTAGCCAAATACAAAAGAGAAATCGAATTTGAAATGTTTTTATCAATTTTAGTTGCCATGAAAAAATATGTAATATCAGTCTTTTTTATAGGTTAGATTTTGAAAGGAAGGAGTATTATCAGGGAAAATCATGTTATTCACAAAGACCTTGAAAAATCCTATTAAAATGCATTTTGAAGTGTTGAATAAAAGCTTGACAGCAACATCATTATACTGTAACTTAACTTATTCTTAGTTTACCTTTTTCTATTTGTCTTCCGATTTCTATATTGAATAAAACGTTTTAATGAATTTTCGTATGCTAAAATACCAAACCACCCTTTTGAATCTAATTTTGATCAATAGAAAATAGGATCCATTGTTGTTCAAACGATTTCTATTAAAGAAACAATTAGTTTAAAATTATCTTACTGACTGACGTTTTAAGGACAAGCTTTTGTGGTCAGTGAGATTAATCTAGTGGTTCCATAGTAATATCTGTTAAGATTCGGAATCACAGTACAAGAATTTAAAACCCCAATGTTAAAATACAATTTGGAGTAAAGTCACACAAGAAAAAGAACAAGGTGGAAAATAGTATAATGAAACTAAATATTTTACTTTTATTCATAGCGTATGGTAAGTATATGACGCGATATCAATTTTTTTTCTCGCATTGTTTATTTCATCAAATATTTTCTCAATTAAAAAAATGATTTTCCTTTATATTTATATTTAAAAATCTCTGAGAATAGATAACAAACTATCGCATTTAGGAATATAAATCATTAAACTTTATTATATTTGATCTATAATTTTTTCATTTACTTTCTGAAAGCAAACGTAATTGCAGATTGAAAACATAAGTTTTTAGTATAATATCCACGGACGTCTTGAACATACAAGCGAGTCATATTTCATTCTTCAGCGTCATAAAGTGCTTACAAAATCGGAAAACAGTGACGTCGTCAGAACCATTCCAGCGTTTATTCCTATTTATTGAATACACAGTCAATTGTAATACATCTACTTCTGCATTATTAAATGAATATGAAACTAGATCAATGTAGTGCATTGTGTGTTTCTTTTTTTCAGAGAACGTTGAAGGTCGCTGTTCCAACGTCTATAATGGCTATACCTATGTCTACTATTGTACCTACTACAAGTACGAGATTACATAAACGAATCATTACAAATTCTTATATCCAAAATACTAATATTTTCATATGTAATACATTCACAACGACCATGACTGCATTGCATATATAGAAAGAGTTTATCAGTATGTCGTCCAAAACGTAGTAGAAACACTATATATTCACATTTTGTATATGTTTACACTCTGTAGCTTCCAAAGTGTGTCTTTGATTTATGTATGCAGTTACGTAATTTGACGATTTTGTAAAATTAACTTTTGATGTTGATCATAAAAATGCTATTGCACTTTACAGAACTACAATAGTAAATACTTACAACTTTAATTCATTCAATATTAAGATCAATTTAAAAAACATATGGAAGGACAGGTACCAATATCATACATTATTACTATCAGTCATTTCAGAAACAAAATCAAATCATTCATATGAAAAATTTAATGACCCTTATGTATTGTGATTAAATTCCATTAAATAATGCTTAGTAAATATACCCTGAACTTTGTAAGCGGGTCATGTATTTCTTTCTGCAACAGCTGCAATATTCATCCCCGTACTAAGAAACACAGAAAGCTTTTTATTTTTTTTTTAAAATGATTGTTTTTTTAATATAAATATATTGGTTTCCTGTATTCTTTATATTATGGGAATGAGTGGAAGATAAAGAAAAAAACACACACTGCCATGTATATTGTTGAAAAACAATTTACATAAAATAAAGTTCATTTGTGAAGATTCATAAGGACATGAACGATGACGTTTCATGCCGGCTTATTTCATGAAGCGCGTTTATGATAAATATGCCGGCGTGAAGCGTTGTAGAACATGTACCTCATGAATCTTCAAAAATTAAATTCATTTGTTATACTAGTATTTACACTTTTTTCTGATGAGTTGCCTCAACTTTACGCCATTCAACTGTAATTTTTAAAGCAAAACAATTTGTACTATAGTTTTGACGTCAAGTATGGTATTATGAAGTTACAATGGAGATATGCATGCTCATCCATGGTAATTCATGAAAAAATGAACAAAATTCTAATTTTAAAGGAGTGTTAAAGGCAAATATTTACATTTGCAAATGTTTGCCTTTATATAACACTATATTTGAAGAAGGCGTTTTTATTTCTCTGTAAAACACGTTCGTCATGTGACCAAAAATTGGTAATTTAGTCATAAGCGATCTACGTAATTTCATGGTGACGTCATAAGTGATCAACGTGTTCAACACATTCAATCTACACCACTGAGATTTTAAAAAATAAATCTTTTATGGATTTAAAATTAATGTGTCTTTTTATATGTAATAAATCAATCACAAAATTAAATATAAGGAATAAGGTATCAGGGCTTTATGGGATTTGATCACGTGACCAACCCGTTTTACACCCAAATGAAACTCAAAAAATGAGACCTTATTTCTTAAATAAATGGAAATGTAAATATAAGAAAATAACGAGCTACTATCACATGGAATAACTGGTTTGATTGTTTCATATTTAGTCCATATTTACTCGTTCTGGGAGCCTCCTACGGATCAGTGATCGGGATCGGGATTCTAGTAAGCTTTATCGTTTGCTGGTGCTGTAACCAAAGGAAAAATCAACAGGGCTGTCATGGCGCGGTTATTGTTCCAACTCCCCAAAGAACAAGTAAATTTTTTTAAAGCAAACACTGTACTTATTAAGTATTTTTAACGCAATTATATCTCTATCCACAGGGACTTGCTCCTGGCGTATAAAAAATATTTATTAAAAAAATGATATACTATAAAACTACAGTATATCATTTTTTTTATAAATATTTTTTACACGCCAGAAGCAAGTCTCTGTGCTCTATCTTAATATGGTCAAGATTATTTATAACGTTAAAGAGGCAACCACAATTTCACATTTTGCTACCAATAAAAAACTCATGAAGTACATTTCCTTCCCCACTGTCTTATATAGATATATTATCTGTAGCAAAGAATTGCGAAAGTTGTACATGTCTATCATTTATTAGTATGAAGGTCTAGAAAGTGTGAATGAGCAAGATTTAAGTTAAAACACATCCTAGTCAATGGTGAAAACTGTGTGCATGTAATGTTACTATAGGTCTGAGAAAAGTGGGAATGTGTTTTCGAAAACAACTGTAAAATTAATTTTGTGAATAAGATAAATATTGTTTTACCCATCATATATTTTATACATTCTATTCTTGCTTTCATTTATATTTTTTTCTTTAAACAGATAATATCCATGTCAGTCATCAATATGGAATCCCACAGAACCAGCATCCTGTTATGGCAGGCATACCCGGTACTCAGAACTCTTACATGTTGACACCGACACACGGTGGAAATTCACAAGGACCAAATTCACCTCACGTGGGTATTCCGTCCACAAGTGCAGATGCTGGGGAGAATTTACCGGGAACTGTCCAATCAGGAACATAAAACTTAAAACTGGTTTTAATTAGACGTTAGCAAATGTGAAACCTGTGTTTTAAAAAGTCTTTTTAATTTTAGAGTTTATTATCATGTAATTGCTGCTAGAGTCATTTCATGTACAATTAGATATAAACGTATGTCTTTAATATTATCACTGTCACACTATATCTTTACTGTACATTTTTATAACAGACAAAACATATTACATGTCCATATGTTAAAGGAATCTTTTTGCCCAGAATTATATAATTGCTTATCTAAGGCGTGTATATTTTATGAAATTGTAAACATTTAGCTTAATCAAGTTTATATTTTGCTTTTTTTCTCTCAACATTGCATATTTGTTAGCCATTAATATCGATATTACTGTTCATCTTTCATTTACAAAAGTTGATATTACAGCATTAAAATAATCATTTTCAGTAGAGCATGCCTGTTTGAATATTTTATTGTCATATCACAATCGTTTTCTTCGTTAGGACATAGGATAATTCAAACTTTCAATTTAAGGACACAAATTATAAGAATTCATTAATTGAATTAATTATTTTTTCAGATCCTGTTGTCAAGTTTAATGCACATATTAAAGATATCAAAACATATATTTTTCTCGACTTCCCAGTGTTCTTACTTCCAAAACATTTTTAAAGTTAATACCCTCGAATTATGAGTTTTCGTGGCATTACGGTTAATTTGTAATATAGTTCTTCAAGACTGAATAATTGAGATGTTTGCTATTTATCACATATACAGACAATAATTCTCCTTATTCTAAAATGCTTTTTACTCACATATCATTTGTTATTTGTTCAGAAGGTAATTGAATTCTTGCATAGTTGCTCTTTCGATTTTTTCGCCGACGTCATATGTTTTCGTGGTATTTATAAAACAAGTAAACTATGGAAATCTAGCCGGGCAAAATCCTTATAAATTTTACAGTGTCAAAAATACTAGTTAATTGACAAAATGATTACATTATTTGACATGAAAATTTAATTGTTGTTAATTAAGACCACATCTATCTAGGCGTGCCTAAGCTGTATTGCTAAATAATGTAAAAAATTTCTCTCTTTCTCAAGAGTGGCCTAGAAGTAATTTTGTAAAGCTTTATTTGAATGTTTCATGTTTGAAAAAATAAATTCCGTGTATATTTAAAGAAATTAAATGTTTAATTCAATTAATTATCAATGGCACAGTATTTTTTTATCATATAACTTTTATAACAACCCCGATATTTTCTTTGAAAATTATATAAGAAATGACGTTACTAGATCACCGTAGAAAAAATATCAAAAGTAGGAAATTCCAAATTATTGTCACATGACCGGTAGCTGTATGGATAGTTAAAACAGACGATTATTAGCAGGATCGCCGGCTATTATATAGTTTGTAAGTTTGGTATTCTAGTTCAAAACACGACGAATAAGCGTATATTACGCAAATTGTCAAATTTGCAAACTATGCATAACTCACTCGCTTGTTTTATTTTGGCAAAGGCAAAAAGGTTTAACATTTGGTCATTAAACAAGCACAGGGTTCCCCATTATTAATAGCAAATATGACGTCATTTCGATTTCGCATTGTGCGATTATTTCTAAAAATCAAACATTTACATGTATATAATTTTATTTATTATTTTTATACTGCAAATGGTGCTGAACGGCAATTGAAGACATTTTATTTTTCTTTGTACTTCACATGCTGTTCAATAAGATTTATTTATTAGTCGGTTTACGTCATTTCAAAAATTTCCTATTTTTTGAGGCATTACCTTAATTTTGCCGTTTGAGTGCTGAAAATTTAGACAAATATTCGACACTTAGTGCTTACGAGCAATAAGGGATATTTCTCATGCCAACACCTACTGTGACACGGGATCAATTCAATTATAGCTTCATCCGAAGGAATCTTCACGTCGCCATGCTGGATTCGAATCAGCGACATGTTGATCAATTCCTTACTCCTCGACTCTAGAGCAGACGCTTTTACCGCTGCCACACGCGGTGGATTACACATAACCATCAAAGTCCTATTTTTTTTTATCAGTAAATATCCCTGCTTAATAAATTATTTCATTAACCCTTGTTCTTTTACTTAACAATAACATTTGGGAAATCAGTCCCTGGACTACTTGGGTATTAGACTTGGTCTGGTTTGAATTTGAATGCATTGTATAATTAAGACCTTGATTCTACTGTATTCTCGCTAGCTAAAATATAAAAGTTCTTCTTGAGCCTTTTCATTTATCTGTTCAAACTACTACGCATGGGATTTAAATCGTTTATCAGCCCAGCTGTTCAGAGAAGGAAAAGCGAAAATGAAAATGTTCGATATCAAAACGAGGAAACATATACATTTTTGAAAAACGCAAAAATTGAATAACAATTATTCTCCAAACTAAATGCAAAATATGTAAATTAAATAACACTATAAAACCATCGTGTCCGAAATGGTCAAGTGGTTGTGCTGGTGAGCTTCCATCTAGTACTTTTACCAGAGAATGGGTTCTAATCCTGGAATGGATTATTTTTGCATATTTTTTTTCTTATTTTTTTTTTCAATATGTAATGGTAGTGCAATGAAATTACATATATTTTGAAAGAGAGAGAGGGAGAGAGAGAGAATGTCAAGAAGTTAACATAGTAATAACTATATATTAGAAATGCAGGATTAGATTCTTTCCCTTGATATGCTGTGACTTAAAACTAATGCTTTATTTACTTTTGTCTTGGAAAATAATGTAACTCTATCGTTTAAATTAATTATTTTTTACATACTGTAGCAATTGCAATTTTGAATAATTCTGGTCTCTTAGTTAGTAGCCAAGATTTGATTTCAAACAATGATATGTATTGGATGTAGCACCAACAGTGTGATTATGGGACGCAGTTTTATTTCATGAAAATTATTTTTGCACGATGTCTACAATATATCTTTCAAAATGCTGCTTCAGCCATTGTGCTTTTTGTTGTTCCAACCTTTTCCGTGCAAAATGATTACGAAAGTGTTTTGCTGTATCAAGCAGGAAATGCTCGCTGTAAACATAGTCCTCTACGTAGCTGTATGTATATTTAGACATCGCGCAGGTATTTAAATGTCCTTCGCCATATATATAGGGAATAATCGCGAGTTTCTGCAACTGCCTCTTTACACGCTTTTTCAACCTGAAATCAGTAAGAAACAATAAAAGTAATTTCATTTTTCTCACTCTTCCTTCCATTCAAATTATTTTTTTTAATGCTTATATCTACATTATAACATAATTTAAAACTATCAAAGAAAATTGTTTGAATAGTTTTTTTTAAAAAAAAATTTTTTCATGCAAGAAATTCATAAATATCTTAAAGTAAAACAGTATTGCTAAAAATATTCAGAATAAAACATTATGAACATATAATGTGATTTTATAAAACAAATTTTAAAAACACAAATTATTTAAGTATTTTCTTTCCTGACAAGGTTATCATTACTTCAGTACTGCATGTATTTTATCAGGAAAAGGTAGATAACAACACTTCAGACATTTTCTTTATAACTAAATAAATGATGATAACTATATGTTGTTAATATATGATAATAGATTTAGCAGAATTCAAGCAACACTTGATGTAGTGTCATAACGTACAAAACAAACATGGCGGAATACAATAATTTAAAACTGAGTATTTTGTTCCTGATTACAACTTATAGTGAGTACATTTTGTCAGAAAATTAATTTGTTATCAGAAATTTCTTATTATTATTATAAACAATAGCTCCTTAGACTTTTCATTTATATTTTTATCAATGAGAATAAATGGCTTAATTTCACATTTTGAGTTTAAAGCATATTTTAAAAACTTTACACACAACCTTTTTTGTAAATGGAAACGTAAATATTGAAGTAGTTTTAAAAATATGTAAATGCTACTCTCAATCCATTAAGTCTGTAGAAAATTAAGCAAGCTCCAATCTTAACATAATTTTTTCCATACATTGTCTAATGGTAATGAAGAACCTCAAATCAACGAAAACTTATTTAGGACATGTATAAATCTGTTCGGTTTTTTTAATACATATATTTTACAATATCACTTATACTTATAAATCACACATAAAGAAATTTATGTATCCGATCAGCTTTATCTTAAGGGGTCGTCATTAAAGTTGCTATCTACATTCTGCAGAAACTCTGCGGTGATTTATTTCAAACGAAATTTTAACTGAAAGTTGTAAGGATAAGGATAGAGAAATTGTGAAATCTACTCTCTCTATCTTTGTACCGTTTACAAGGAAATAATTTTTACAAATAAAAGATTTGATAAGTTTGAATCTGGAAGTAAGGGTTTGTATCAAAACCGGAAGTGTTATTGATAAAGCACCTAAAGCATAGGTTTATCTCAGTGACAGTATCCAACACGTATGAGATAAATATAGGATCTCCCTTGATTTGTAGTTGGATATGATTTTTATCCAACGATCGCGAGTTGCGTGTTTTATTTCCCCAAGCCTTGGCGAAGGGATAAAAACACACAACGAGTTGCATGGATAAAAATCATATCCAACTACAAATCATGTGAGATTTTTTTCATCCCATGTTTAATACTTCACAACCAATGTTTTACATTGTTTTTTGTAGGTCTTCACTTTATTTTACTTCATTAAGCTTACGCAAAAACCAATGGTGACAACTGCACTTAAGTGTGAGATATTATACAATTATTGCTGTTTTTTCGGGCAAGACAATGATTTAGCCATCTTCGAAGTACAATATTCACCTCGTCCGAAGGGCGAGGTGAATATTGAACTTCGAAGATGGCTAAATCATTGTATTGCCCGAAAAAAACAGCAATAATTGTTTTATTATAGGATTCGCTGATAAAATGATACAGCTCATTACTTGTTTGTATTTTATTAAGTCCTAGGCAAATACAAGAGGGAAGCAGAATTAAAATGTGAATAAACCTTACCAGTCGTATCAGTCTGAATTTTTTTTTTTAATCAATTTTAGTTGCCATGAAAGAAATATATAATGTCAGTCTTTTTATACGATAGATTTTGAAAGGAAGGAGTATTATCAGGGAAAACTGACTGCCAAAAAGTAAAAAAAATTATTCAGTAAAAGTGTTGGAGGGGGGTCCCTGCATCCCCTCTTACCAACCTCACCCTAAAATATATATTTTTGCTTATGTTTTGTTCACATGAAAAAAAAATCATAGTTGTTTAAATAGCTTTCCAAAACAATTTGTATCAATTTGGAATTTCCCAATCTATTTTTAGATCAATGTAGAGGAAATAAATCCTTGTATTGACCTGGAACGTCACGTGCAGGTCAATACAACGTAGTATTTTTCTAACATAGTTGGATCTCAGCCAATCAGAGAGATGGAAATTATTAAATCATATAATAACAAAAAATATCCAGTGAGTCATATCCACATGATAAAGGGGTAAACATTGGATAAATAAAAACTAGTACTAATTGTAACGGGGACCGTTACAGATGTTCCCCAAAGGCTCCCCATCTCCCTTTTGGTGCCATATTCCCTGTAAGCTTCATTAAATAAGACAAAGTCTGTGCATTTGAGACTTTAACAACGTTTACCCAGAAGTGTACCAAATTCATTCAAATGTTAGCATTGCACGCGTGCGCATGTGAATGCATGTGCGTAATAACCATATCATCTTGTCTACACAATCTACATATTTTAATATACTAAATACTAAAGTATTTAATCGAAAAGTATTAAAAATACGCTCATTCAAGTGTATTTTTGATTTTACTCATTTCACGTGCACACACGTGTATACATAAGCATGGTGACCATACCTTCTTGTAGAAGTCCATTACATCTATCTATGTTCTAAATCCCACCCCGTTTGGTTGAAAACCAAGGGAGTTATAGCTGTTTAAAGTTTCAGCCAATGAGATTGCAGCGCACGTACACGCACGTGTATGCATGTACATGGTGACCATACCTTCTTGTAGAGGTCCATTATATCTATCTATGTTCCAAATCCCATCCTGTTTGGTTGAAAATCAAGGGAGTTATAGCTATTTAAAGTTTAAGAATCAGATTGCAGCGCACGTGCATGCACGTGTTTTCATGATAATTGCTATATATCACGTTGTAGGATACCCTAATGTATGGCTAAGTTCAAAATTTCAAAGGATTTCGTCAAAAAACAAGAAAGATATTCAGACTTTAGTTTCAGCCAATCAGAGCGAAGCGCACGTGCATGCGCGTGGATTCTTGCTATTTTGCACATGTCATATTGTCTATGCTACTAATATATCCTTATATTATGAGTTTCAAAGCATTTCATCAAAAATGTGAAAAGTTACGCCTATATCAATTAAATCGGTCATTTCACGTGTTGCACGTGCACGCTCTTGCAAGCAAGTGCGCGCAAAATGACCTTCGTTCCGCAAATCTACATAACATGCCTACTGACCCTAAAAAGGTTTTACCTAAGTCGGATGGGTAGTTTACAAGATCACTCCCGGACAAAAAAGTACCCAGGAAGAAGAAAAATAATAATAATAATAAGAAACAGAGTAAAAACAATATGTTCCCCAACTTCGTTTGGGGAACATAATAACAGGTGTCTTTTGCTTTCCAGAAACGACTGAAGGTTCCTGTTATATTTATTACGACGGTTCTAACGAGATCCAAGATTGCTCCGATGACAAGTAAGAGATTCTCAATTTTACAAATAAAAGATTGGCTGTAAAACAAGTCAGAAAAAGCAAAATCTAAAGCAGAAATGGCAAAACACTGCAAGTTATCTAAAGCAGAAATGGCAAAACACTGCAAGTTAGAGATTACAAAAATTAATAACTTTTTGTTGTGAAATACATTCGTATATATTTTTTTCTGAATTTTATAATGCACTTGAAATGCATGTATATTGTACCTGTGGAAGATTACAGTGTTTGAATTCTTAATCTAGTCTGGTTGAGCCCACTGTTTCCTACAAATATGTAAATCATGTTACAATGTCATTAGGGTATATTTTCGTCATTTACTTTAATAAATGACATAGTTCACTGCTATATGATGTTATTTGTTTTTGCCTGCTTTTAACAAAAAAAAAAAAAAAAAAACAATCACAAAACACAAAACCAAAAAAAAAAAAAAAAACAAACAAACAAACAAAAAAAGAAGACAAAAACAAAAACAAAAAACAAAATACAAAACAAAACTCCCCCCAGAAACTGGGAACGAAAGAGAGCATGTAGTTTTCATTACTACTCTATTGTTTTCTCTTGTAATAAAAAAACTAACAGATATGAAATGATTCTATCTAATAATAATAACACTTTTTTCCATTGTATTTAGTACAGCCTTAGCTATACTAGGTGGATCTTATGGTGGTTTGCTCGGGCTCGGCATCTTTGTTAGTCTTATCGTCTGCATATGTTGCATGCAGAGGAAAAACAGGGAATGGAGTCGCGGAGCAGTCATTATTCAAACTCTCCCAGGAGTAGGTAAACATTTATTCTTTAATAGTCTTGTTAGAAAAAAAAAATGTTTGATTGTTTTTGTTTGAAAAAACCATCTCAAACCAGAAAAGACGAAAGTCAAAGATACTGTTATTATACTTCAATACGGAGTATATTGTAATACCGGTATTTAGAAAAAAAAATGGGGACTTATAAACGACATTGATTACATCACTGCTGACCCTAGTTTAAGAATAAGTACCTCAAAGATGTATAAGATCAAGTATGCAACAGTTACTATTAGTGCAATTAATCGTTCGACTTACTTGCTTTCAGATAGAATATTCTGGATGGTGATGGCAAAGAACAAAACAACGAACATTTTAGCTATACCATTCATTTTTATCAATTTGAATTTTTTTTTCAAGTTTTATTCTTTTATTTTTTAAACAGATAACCCTAATGCTTATCTTTCTGGACACCAGCAGATTCAATATTCTACACTGACTGGTACAGGAAATACTCATAATCCCAACATCATGATGATACCGACCAATTATGGACGTATACAAGGGCAAGACTCAACACCTGTGAATTCCCAAACAACAACTTTGAGTGCTGGTGCAAATCCACCAGGAACTGTCCAGCAAGAAAACAATTAAGAATACGCTTCCATTAAGACAATGAAAAATTGAAATACTGTAAAATAATGTTTATTCGCGTGCGAGAAATATTCACAAATGTCACGACTTTCCTTGACTTATGAATATTATTCGCAGCGAACCAAAAATTTTGATATGAATTTGTGAAGAATATTTGCTCCGTCGCAAAAATTTATATTCTTTTAGATCAATTATATATTTTCCATTTTATAAAGCGTTTTGTCAAGGAGCTTTCTGATTCTCAAGAAAAATAACGTCATGTTTTTGTGTACTATGTCATTAATTTCGGAGAGGGGTGATATGGATTCAGTATTTCACAGTGTTATGATCCGGAAAGTCTGATCACACTGTCAGATGATTGAACGACAGTAAAAGTTTCATAAATGAAATATAATATATGAAAGTTGAGTGATAAACACTTGGGTATATAATGAATAAGAAGTTCCATATCTCATATAAAAGATTTTTAATAAGCAAATTTTATGTTTGGTTGTTATCATAGGCATTCATAAAAGGATTTCATTTAAAGTATATAGATTGACTTCGGTCTATGAAATACTCACTATTGTTTTAAACAAAATATATTCTGAATAAAACTGAAGTATATCAATGCAGTTTCCACACATAAAGCATGAGTAACATAACTCATAACATAACATAACGTTTACCGTACAAAAGTCTTATCCCGGACTTGTTTTTGTGCGTATATTTTCCATTTTTATATTTCAAATTCGGCGTTCCAAAACTCACTTTGCTTTTGACTAAAATTTTCATTGTCATTTATTTTTCATGATTTAAAATTTGAAACATATGAAGTAACGGTGAAGATATTATTACACCGGCGCTATTTTGGTTTAAACGAGAAAATATAGAAAATCCTTAGCTTAACCTTTCTTGAGCGTAAACCGTTCTCGAAAAAATTGTTAAAAATACCTGACAAATTGATGTAAATAAAGTAACACAATCCACTATTCGTCTATGATTGTCAGTTGTGTCATTTTCTCACAGCAAAGATTTATTTCACCAGGAATAATTATACTCCCTTGTGCTTCTCCCAAAAGGAATATGGTTTTTGTAGGCGGAATAATTCTTCATGTTTTCCTTGCACTTATCTATGCAATAAATAGCTTAAAATACCGAAATAAAGCCAACAAAAGCTTTAGAAATAACGTAGACATTCAGTTCGGCACCACTTTTATATTCACTTTCGGTTTTGAAGTAAAACTATTGAAGCACTTGTCCCTCGTGCACTTCAAATTCCGATTTCTTTAGTTTTTGTTTAAACTAGCATTCGTATTGAAAAGAAGCCTGCAAATGTTGTCTTTGGGTTAGATATGAAACATTGTAAATTTTGAGACGTATATTGCTCTTGAGAGATGTATGAAAACGAACAATAATAATTGTGGGATAAGACAGAATGTTTCTGTTATATTCCTGTTATTAGTTTGACCTTTCATTATTAGCCAATCAGATAATTTCTTTTGTTTTATGTGCGAGTCTATTATGTCATAGAATAAACGTGTTCAGCTTCCATGTGTTCATCACTCTGGGTCCAACGTCTATCAAATACCTCATAATCTAACATGGTGGCAGCGGTAAACCTGTGAATAATGAACTAAACGGTGCGTCAACCGTAAGTTGTGACTATTTTGTGCATTTTTTCTCATTATTTCGGGAACCAGAACACTGTCAACTCGATCGACACATGAGTTCACTGAGTGCATCAGCTCATTTTTGAATGACATTTGAGAACTCCGAAGTATTACCTTTCCTCAGATATCTATTCAATATGGGTGATCCACCAACTATATATCAAAGTGTTCCGGGACCAGGAAAACTCTCGCTAGAAGGTGATGCAGCTCTAAACTTCCGCCGTTTTGAGCGCGGGTGGAAAGTGTACGAAGTCGGCGCTCGTGTCAAGGAACAGGATGCGACAATCCGAGCTTCCATTCTCCAGTCATATTTGACCGCAGAAGTCCTAGAACTACTGGAAACGCTTCCATTTGAGGACCCAGCTCACCGCAAAGATGCTGACCGTATTCTCAAAGTGCTTGAAACTCACTTCATTGGGACTACAAATGAAACTTATGAAAGGTACAAATTTAACATTCGCTCTCAGAAAAAAGGGGAAACTTTTGATACATTTCTCGGAGCAATCCGTGTACTCTCCAAGTCTTGTAATTTTGGTGCACTTGAGGACTCTTTACTCCGTGACAAAATAGTGTGTGGCGTTAACAAGGAACACACAAGACGCAAACTCCTTGCGGAATCACAACTCAACCTGGCAAAAGCCATAAACATTTGTAAGGCTGACGAGTCAGCTACACAGCAAGCGTCCGAAATAGGCAAATCAACAGACACAAAGGAGGATTCTGTTCATAGTGTAAAAACTCCACGTGACTCTAAACATTCTCAGCGGCCCCAGAGAGGACCCCTTCCACAACAGAGACCACACAAAGGACAGACTCAGAGACAAATAAACCATTGCAAGTATTGTGGTGGCGCATATGTGTGGAAAAAGGAAGCATGTCCGGCATATGGAAAGACTTGTAAGAAGTGCAAAGGAAAAAACCATTTTGCTAAGTACTGTAAGCAAAGTGTTAATACTCGTGTTCACAGTGTAGAAGAGGGCAATGACTATTATGCGGAGCCTGAGTACTTGATTAGACAAGTCAGTACTAACATTGCAGGTGGATCTGGACGTCTCTGTGCGGAACTCATGGTTAACGATCAACCAATAGCATTTCAGATAGACACCGGTGCTTCTAACAATCTTATTGGAAAGAAATGGATTGGTGACACTACTATTACTCCATCGACCAGTACTCTAGTGATGTGGAATGGCTCGCGTATGGAACCTCACGGGGAGTGTATTCTGAAATTAGTCAATCACAAGAACAGGACCAAGTACAAAGTCAAGTTCGTAGTTGTCAATGAGGACTTAACTCCACTCCTCGGACTCAATGCATGTACTCAAATGGGACTCATTACCATAAATCAGGACGAGTTCAAGCGAGTGAACTCTGTGTACCCCGTCTGTCCGACTGTTGCGTACAAGGATGTATTTGAGGACAAAATAGGACAACTCCCTGGAGTAGCACATTTTGAGGTTGACCCCTCAGTCTCACCAGTTATATCGCCAGTCCGAAAAGTTGCAGTCCACATGAAACCAAAACTAAAGGAAGCACTAGATGATTTGACAAAGAAGGCCATCATAGCTCCTGTTAACAAGCCCACCGATTGGCTCAGTCACCTTGTATGTACCACTAAGAGAAACGGTGAACTCCGACTATGTTTAGACCCAGAGCATCTCAACAAAGCACTAAAACGTGAACATTTTCATCTTCCAGTACTCCGTGAGATGCTACCAGACCTGGCACATGCAAAGGTGTTCTCAACGTTTGATCTCCGTCATGGCTACTGGCACGTAAGGCTGGATGATGAAAGTAGTCACATGACTACATTTGACACACCATTCGGAAGGTACCGTTGGTTACGACTCCCATTCGGTACCAGTGTCTCCTCAGAGATGTTCCAGCGACGTCTATACCAAGCTATAGGTGACTTGAGAGGGATTCTGAACATCGCAGATGATGTACTACTCTATGGTGTTGGTGAGACCTAGGAAGAGGCCATGAGAGACCATGATGAAAAGTTAGTATCATTTCTCCAGCGATGCCAAGCAGTTGGTATCCGACTCAATCCGAAGAAAATGCGGCTGAGACTCTCCCAGGTAGGATTCATGGGTCACCTTGTAACTGACAAAGGAGTGCTACCAGACCCCGATAAGGTAGCTGCCATTCGCAACATGCCAGCACCAACAGACTTGCATGGTGTTCACAGACTATGTGGAACAGTGAACTTCCTATCAGACTTCATTCCATCATTAGCTACAATAATGGAACCGATAAACATGCTCAAACGGAAGCACATTGAGTTCAGATGGGATGAACCCCAACGTAAGGCTTTCAACAAAGTGAAAGAAATACTATCCTCTGAAAATCATCTTCAATACTACGATGATAAGAAACCACTTACCATACAATGTGATGCGTCCCAAAGAGGCTTAGGAGCAGCCCTTCTACAGGAAGGAAAGCCAATAGCATATGCTAGCCGAGCACTCACTGAAACTGAGGCGAACTATGCTCAGATCGAGAAGGAACTTCTGGCCATAGTTTTTGCACTGGAGAAGTTTCATCATTACACATTTGCTCGACATGTGGTGGTACAGTCTGACCACAAACCGCTGGAGACTATCATCCCAGGCTCTCTCTGGAAAGCTCCAAAACGCCTACAAGCAATGAAACTCCGACTCCAGAAGTATGACATAACTGTTAAGTACCACAGGGGCAAGGAGATGCACATAGCAGACACACTGTCACGTGCGTACCCGTCTGATACAGGAATGGGCAAACAGGATGACATAATTGACATCAATGTCATTCAACATATCTCCATCTCCCCTGAGCGTATCAAAGAGATACAACGCCACACTGCTAAGGATGAGACCCTACAGGCTCTTCGCAAGACTATCGTGGAAGGTTGGCCTGACCTCTTAACTGAACTACCTCCAGTGGTAGGGCGTTATGCATCCTACAGAAGTGAACTTTCATTTACGGATGGTATCATTCTACGTGGAGACAGGATCGTAGTTCCTCAGACTCTCCGTAAAAGTATGCTAGAAAGACTCCATAGCTCTCATCTAGGTATCACTGGCACCCGTCGACGAGCAGCTGAATGTCTCTACTGGCCGAACATGAACAACGACATAAAGGAATTCATTTCACAGTGTGAGACATGCCGTATCATGGAAGTGGCAAATACCAAGATGCCACTCTCGCCTCATGATGTCCCAGACCGACCATGGTCTAAGGTTGGTGTTGACCTTTTCACGCTCAACAACATCAACTATCTCATTCTTGTCGACTATTTCTCTGGATACTTTGAGGTTGATGAACTGCGCCAAACACTTGCAACCAATGTCATCCAGAGAATGAAGTATCACTTTGCTCGATATGGATTACCTGAGATTGTCGTCTCGGACAACGGTCCCCAATTCTCATGTCTCGAGTTTCTGAACTTTGCAGAAGAATATAACTTCAGACATCAGCCTAGTAGTCCTGGAAATTCTCAAGCCAACGGAAAAGCTGAGGCTGCAGTGAAAACAGCAAAGACTATCATCAAAAAAGCTCTGGCATCTGGAAGGGATGTGTATCTGGCACTACTTGATCTCAGGAACACACCGACCCAAGGACAGAACACAAGGCCTGTACAGCGCTCTCTTGGTCGCCGTACACGAACGCTTTTACCAATGACAACCACCCTACTCCGACCAGAAGGCATACAGACTGACGATATTCAACGTAAGATCCTGCAGCGACAGGAAACACAGAAAAGCTATTTCGACAGAAAATCAAAGGCCCTCAAGCCTCTCGAGGAAGGTGATGTGGTTCGTCTTCAACCATTCGTCAACCGTAAAGCCCCTTGGGCTAAAGGTCAAGTCATCCGTCGTCTAGATGACCGCTCCTATGAAGTCAGTTCTGGAGACCGCATATACCGACGCAATCGAGTACACCTTAAGGCTACCAATGAACCTCCAGTGATGACCTTTTCACCTAACACACCTGTGTATGCACCGTCTGTAGTACCTACTCCAAAAACACCGACTAAACCTAATTCACCGGTTAAGGTCAGCCCACAGCCTGTGCAACCACATATCACTGTACCTCCGGCACCGATGCCAAACTTACCTGATGCTCGTATTACCACATCAGCTCCGAAGGCTGATTCAGCAGTGAAAACGCGATCTGGCAGGACAGTTAACCTACCTTTGCATCTTAAGGATTTTCAGATTGATGTTAAGAAATGAACAGTTTTGTATAAGCTTTATTATGTTTACATCTCAATGACAGTTTCATTTTTTTTTTGTAAAATGAGGAGGATGTTATATTCCTGTTATTCGTTTGACCTTTCATTATTAGCCAATCAGATAATTTCTTTTGTTTTATGTGCGAGTCTATTATGTCATAGAATAAACGTGTTCAGCTTCCATGTGTTCATCACTCTGGGTCCAACGTCTATCAAATACCTCATAATCTAACAGTTTCCACATGCAGAGGTTGAATATAATGAAAAGCATAACGGCGATAGGGAACATCAGATGAAGCTGTGTGTAAAATAGCTATAATGAGGTAAAATAAATGCATGTGTGATCTGTAGAATTTAAAGTTGCAGAAAGATATTTTCTTTTGAAAAAAACCTTGCTCAAAAGGAAAAAAAACAAATTATTTCACATGAAAGCGTTTTTATCGGTTTTAGGAAATAAATTGCTTTACTTGTTTCAGTTCAATAGTGTATCACCCTGCAGTTTTAAACTCTGTTCTTGTATTAGCCTTAACAGTCGGCCAAAGCCTGGAGAGTGGTTTGTGGCAACGCACTTTGAAAAAATTACGCACTTTGAAAAAATTTTTCAAAGTGCGTTAAAATTGGGAAAAATCAACACACTTTGAAAAAAATTTTCAAAGTGCGTTAAATTTAGGACAAACTCAATGCACTTTGAAAAAATTTTTCAAAGTGCGTTAAGAGTCTACATCAATATATTTTACCATGGAGACACTTAACGCACTTTGAAAAAAAATCATATTTTAGTCATGGAAAGATTTTATTTGTTATTTATCTTTCAAAAAACTAAGCCTAACCCTTACCTCAAAAATGAATTGATTTTACTCCCGTCAAAAAGAGGAGAAGACAGGTATAAGATCCCTAAGTCCAAATCTTTATCTTTCCAATACATAGGTGTCGGTAACAAACGGGGGAGGGGAGCAATAAACCTAAAAAGGGTACGCTGCATTTTCAATGCTTATACGATGTATATATCTTTCCAAAATAAGTGGGGGGCTCAGCCCCCCATCCCCTCCCCTGGCCCTTCGCCCAGTCTCGATGTCTATGCTATACTCTAAGCAATTATATAATTTTGTATTACCTAACTGGTTTGACGTTGAAAACTTTCAATAATAAATGAGTTAATTAAAACAGATGAAAACTAGAAATTTTTAAGTACAGTAAAACGTATGAGAGAGAAAGAATTTTCATAGTTTTGCTTAGTTGCTTGAAGCTGTCCTCTGTTAGTGCCCCTTATATACAGTACCTTTACATCTACTTATCAAAGATTAGAATTTAAAAAAAGAAGAAGAAACGAATTAATGAACTTAAACAATCGTCACTCTTTTTTTCAAGACCCTTTAATTCCCTTTTATTTTATCAAAACCTTAAATATTTAAAACGTCAATATCTCAGGTTCTACAGAGACTTTATCATAAAAAAAGTTATCAAACCAGGATCTGTTATTTATCATACCGATTATTTAAAGGAATATTGATCGATCTTTACATTTTTTAAAGTGATTCAATATGGTCGATATTAACGCACTTTGAAAAAAAATTTTTTTTTTTCAAAGTGCGTTAGCTTGGTCCCAAATTTTAACGCACTTTGAAAATTTTTTTCAAAGTGCGTATTTTTTCAAAATGCGTTGTAACAGTGGTTGTTACCAGGGAAGAGATCCAATCCGTGGTGTAATTCAATTCATACACATGTAATATATTTTGATCAAAGACAAATAAAAAAGACATCCCGAAGAAAACAAATATATGCTTAAAAAAACAAAACAAAGCATACAAACATTTTTTAACTATATAGTTCATAAAGTATCTCACATAAAAATGTTACTTATATAATCGTTTACTATTTCTAGACTAAAGTTTCATAGTAAATCGAAGTATCAGAGTAATTACTAAACTTAACTAAAAGAGTATTTGCTAAGGGGATCAAGTTTCTTTCTGTTACAAGAAAATATTTTTAAAAGTTAAGTTAAAAGTTAAGATACTTTCTACACAAATCTCTAGAAACAAAGTAAGAGTTATAATTTAACATAGACCTTTGTAAAAGGATTATAAGACGAAGCGAAGGTAAAAAAAAGCTATTGCTCATATTGCCTTGAGCATATCCGTTATTTTATCTACAACGAGGCAATGTGATTTTGTAGGATGGAAGTGCAGGTACATGTATTTTAGAAGCATTTCTCACCATAACAAACTGATAAGTTGATGTCGTGGGGGATTTCAACAACCTCGTTTAAAGCCGACATTTTTAAAAATTCTATGATCGTTATAATTACCATCTTAGCAAACATAACCTATCATTGGATCGTATTTTGGCCGCTTTGTTTCATACCAATTGTTAGGCCTTTGTTTTTATGCAGAATTTGTCTATAGAATGTTCAGTTTACCTGATTAATATATAAGGCTCCCGGTGGGTGAGATCGGACAATAGGGATGCTTTCTCTTCCAAGGTACCTGGTGTCTGGGAGTCCGTGTTATATGCCTTCTTTGTAGATTGTATATTTGGAAATGAGGTCAATTTTATATTCTCATCAGAGAAAACGTTAAAAAAGAGATTCCTAAGGGGTTTTACTGTCAAGGGTTTAAACGAGTATCTTATAGGATTGGATGATTATTTAAATGATAAGGAAATGATTAGGATAATAGATAGTATTATTCTCTTACATTTGTTTTCTGTAACTTTATACAATATTCCATATTTCTTCTTGTTAATTGCTTTTACAATTTT